GGAGCTCACCCCGTCATGGGGATTCGAACTGCTGACCTTCTGATCGGCAAGTCCTAGGCTCTGCGGTTTAACCCACAGCGCCACCCGTGTTACTGACACCAATAAAACTCTGCTTGCCTTTTGCCTTGTGGTGCTGTCTTTGGGCAGGAACAATCACACTGGCAAGTGTTTCAGCCCAAGATATGCATTTCTTCTGGGCCCAAACATGTCAGACTGTGCCAGCGGCAAAAGGGGGCGAAGCAATGAATGCAAATTTTATTTTTATACCATTGGTTAATTCCTAAACGCAGTCACAGCTCACTCTCTGTCTTTCATCCAGGCAAGCAAGACGCATTGTGAGAGTTAAAGGACTCATCTCAGCCAGACAGAAACACCCAGGTCATTGAACGGTGTTGCTTGGGGATAGCCCCAAAGACCTGACAGAGCAGCCTGGAAGTCCAAACTTAGCCACCATATGCACCCTAGACTATCTATCTACATGCACCTAAACATGCCCTTTTTAAACACACCTGGGTACCACAGTCTGTATATTTGGTTAAGCCTGAAAGGGTTTGCATTTTAAGGCCAACTTGTATGCCCTTTTCCTTATCTTTTCACTTCAGAAGGAGTTACAAGGCTCTTCAAGCCCCCCAGTTGTACCAGGCGTAACTTTATCTGTGGTTGTCTCAAAGTGACAGCAAAGAGAATGAAGTAATTGCACCCTTTGGTGTGCTTGAAAGGGTAGCCATGTCAAAGGAGGGCGTATGTAACAAAGCATAAGCCAAAAGAACAAATCCGGAGCAGCCTAGTAATTAAAATTATGAGATGTAAGCCCACAGCGTTAAATTTAGAATTTTAAATACTACAGGTTTGTCAGTTTCTCCTCACCTCCCTTCCCCCACTCTCTCTCTCTCTCTCTCTCTGCCTTCCCCCAAATGCATTGTTTTTCTTTCAGCTTTATAATCAGATTTAAACAAATACATCTCCCCGCTGGGAAAAGAACAATCTTTGGCCAGCTCCAATCTGCACTTTGATAAACTGTGTATAAACGAACCCAGGAATAATACGAGCACTCTGGATTGAATTCCCATCTTAAATTAATCTGTTTAATAGAGTGAGTTCACTTTCAGGTCCCCCTGTCATTCAGAAAACTGCTAGTGGATACTATACAATATTAGCAAAATAACCAAAAGTGATTTACAGCTTGGTGTTCAAACTGGGACAAGGTATAGCATTATTCAAAATGTAATGTTCCAACTGGGTGCACTTTGTCTTTAATGATGTATTTAGTTTTACTACGTAGAGGAGTATTTGGCAAAAAGGTTTTCTTTGGGTCTCCTCCTCCTCCTCGTATGTTTTCTGACACCACTGAAGCCTGGGATTATCTGTTATGCCTTCTGGAAAATGGAACCTTAGCAATTCAGCAACCAAAGAGGAAAAATGCAGCTCACCTCTACCAAGTCTTCTTCTTCTTCTTGTAAAACTTGGTTTGATGTGACCCTTAAAAAACCCCCTTTATTTTAAGCAGAGGTTGGATGGCCATCTGTCATGGATGCTTTACTAGACATCCCTGCATTGCAGGGGGTTAGACTAGATGACCTCGGGGTCCCTTCTAACTCTACAGTTCTTCGATTCTGTGAAATAAAATGTACATGTTCCAGGGCACCGTTGAAGGGCCTTTGGTTAGGATCCTGTAAGGAAAGAGCTTGCAAAGTGCCGACAATTTAATGCATCTGTTTAAATGGTTGCTAGAGGGGAAACAATGGTCAATATGTTTCCTTACCAAATTTGGGAATATGAAATATTCATCCAAATAGCTTAGATAAACATGTTCAAGATCCATTAGTAGATTACAATCCTGTGTATGAAGGGCTGGCACCAGTCATTGGCCAGATGCGGCACTGGCCAAGGCCCCTGGGGTTAAGAGGGGCCTCCACAGCCCTGCTTTGCCACCATTCCCCATAAGGACTTGGCACTAACTTCCCTTGTATTCATTAATAGCCTGCTTTTCTATTTAAATAGATGGGACGCGGGTGGCGCTGTGGGTAAAACCTCAATGCCTAGGACTTGCCGATCGCATGGTCGGCGGTTCGAATCCCCGCCGCGGGGTGAGCTCCCGTCGTTCGGTCCCAGCTCCTGCCCACCTAGCAGTTCGAAAGCACCCCTAAGTGCAAGTAGATAAGTAGGTACCGCTTTATAGCGGGAAGGTAAACGGTGTTTCCGTGTGCTGCTCTGGTGCCGGTTCGCCAGAGCAGCTTCGTCACGCTGGCCACGTGACCCGGAAGTGTCTGCGGACAGCGCTGGCTCCCGGCCTCTAGAGTGAGATGAGCGCACAACCCTAGAGTCTGTCAAGACTGGCCCGTACGGGCAGGGGTACCTTTACCTTTACCTTTACCTATTTAAATAACAACAAAAGGGCCCATTTTTCTAAGGTACCCAGGTAATTAACAATAAATAAACTTAAGTGACAGGTCTTGTTTTTTATTTTTTGTTTCTACACACTTCTTTGTAGAGATTGTGCCATCTCACTCGTAAAACCACAGACAACTTATTGGAATGCTTGCTCTAACATGTTGACTTGGGAGATCTCCAGGCACAGGGCTATTTCAGGCAACAGCGACTATATGCAAACTTTATCATCGCTGAAATTGAATGCACTAACTCTGTAGAGAAGAATCTGGAATACTGGATATCGTAGGAGCAGAAGCTAAAAAGCTCAAGCATCTGTCTGGCAAACATGTCTGTGTATCTTTTCTGTTGCCTTACACCTGCTGCAATGTGTCCACTGTAAGATGCAGTATCGTCTACAAAGATGCAAAAGTTAAGGTAGGTTTGGGGGCTGATGTGATAACTACACTGTAGAGGAAAAGAGACAGTGGTTAGTTTAACGGTTTTGCAGATGGGAAATCCAGATTCAAATTCTTCAAGACTTATTACAGGAAGCTTGCAGTGTGGTCCTGTACAAGCAATTGTCTCTTGGCCCAAAACAATATAGACTGAGGATTAAGGTAAAGGTAAAGGTACCCCTGCCCGTACGGGCCAGTCTTGACAGACTTTAGGGTTGTGCGCCCATCTCACTCAAGAGGCCGGGGGCCAGCGCTGTCCGGAGACACTTCCGGGTCACGTGGCCAGCGTGACATCGCTGCTCTGGCGAGCCAGAGCCGCACACAGAAACGCCATTTACCTTCCCGCTAGTAAGCGGTCCCTATTTATCTACTTGCACCCGGGGGTGCTTTCGAACTGCTAGGTTGGCAGGCGCTGGGACCGAACGACGGGAGCGCACCCCGCCGCGGGGATTCGAACCGCCGACCTCTCGATCGGCAAGCCCTAGGTGCTGAGGCTTTTACCCACAGCGCCACCCGCGTCCCTAGACTGAGGATTACTGTGAGGCAAAACCATTGCTTTGAGTTCCTTGCACGTCAATCCGTTGCTGCCTTTACAGCATTTAGATCCAGCTACAATTGGTGGGATACAAATGTACCATACAGGGTTGCAAATGTAACAACTGAGATATAAATGCAACAAATGGAGATAAAAATGTAACAACAACAAAACCCCATATATGGGATACAAATGCAACAAAAAAACCAACAACCCTGGAGATCACAGATAGTCGTCCCAGGTTCAAAATCCCTGCTCAGATGTGAAGTTGGCTTTGGGCTGTTCTGTTTAGACCCTTCATCTGTTGGCTTTATATACCAGTTTACATGCAGACAGTATTTATATTTATTTTGCCATTACAGCTCAATCTGTTTACTTATATGCATCTACAGAAGTAGGCTGTTGCCTTTGGGGGGGGGAACCAGTTTGTGTCTAAAAATATTTTATTGTTCTGGTGCCATCCAAGTTAGCATTTATGGCAAGAGTAACAGAGGACTCCCCTGTAAATTTACTCAGAAGTTAGTCCAACTGTTTTCAGTGACATTTACTCCTACTGTACCACATGTACAGTATTATTTTTATTTTCCTTTTAAAAAAAATTCACAACAGCCTTGTGAGGTAGGATAGGGTTGAGAAATTGTGATTTGTCCAACATCACTCAGTGAACTTCACAGCCGAGGGATGGTGAGTCAGGCATCCTAATCAGTGGCGTAGCGTGGGTTGTCAGCACCCGGGGCAAGGCAAGTAATTTGCGCCCCCTAATCCGTGGATTTGCCCTAACCCCAGATGTTGCGCCCGGTGCGGCCGGCCCCCCCTGCACCCCCATGCTACGCCACTGATCCTAATTCCTACAACACACTGTTTATTCAGGTTAGTAGCCTTTTAAGGGCTTCTCCAGACAACATACCCAGTTCTCTCCCTCCAAAGTTTATCCTCACCCTGTGAGGCAGACATTAGGCTGAGTGGGAACTGGAACCCTGGCCTCAAAGGCCCTAGGGCAACACACTCTAACCATGATGCCACCAGTGGCAGACCTACATTTTTGGAGCCCTGAAGCTTGAACTGTTATTGGGGTCCCTTCACAACCAGCAATGAGGTCTGGGTAACCACTATTATCTTCGTCAATGGAGTTGTTCCATGACAGATCACCACAATGTTTTCACAAAGATCAACTGCTACAATATCCGATTTTGAATGAAATTGCTGTTCTGCACTGGATTATTCCACATGTCAAAGTCACTAACGTGAACAAAAAATTCCCTATGCCATATAGTTTTTGAGTTATGGGAGGGGGGGAATGAAAATTAGGGAAATGTGCTATACAGGATGCATCATAGAATGATTTAAGTCGCGCTACTCAAATCGGGTCTGCTAGACCCAATTTTTCTGTGCATTTTTTTAAAGCCCTGGAGCCCACGCTCCGCAGCAGGAATGCAGGGCTCTCGTGCTGTCCCGAAAAGAGAAGCTGCGCGCTTTCTCCCTGCCCAAGATTCCCGGGATCCTTCGCTCGCCTCGCAGGAGTCGCGCGCTCTGCCTTTCCTCGCTCGCTCTCGGCAAAACTTTCAGCCAATCGGAGCGCCGCCTTTCTCGAGCCTCGGCAGAAGCGCCGGCCCAGCGAGCGAGGAATCGGGGCGGGGAAAAGAAGCAGGCCCGGCCCGGGGGGGGGGGGAGAGCAGGGGAGGAGATCGAGCAGCAAGGCTTCCCCGCCCGATCCCTTCTCCCTCCCCACACCCCACCTACCCAACCCGCTTCCCTTTGCAACGAAAGCCCCTCTGGATCCCTTTCCCCCGTTTAAGAAGCTACATTAGTAACTCCCCCCACCCCATAATAGTACAAAATGCTGGGCATGTACGTGCCGGACAGGTTTGCCCTGAAGTCATCTAACATTCAAGACGGGATGGGGCTCTTTACGGCCCGGAGAGTAAAAAAGGTGGGTGATCCTTGCTGTTGCACCATTAAGGTGAGGGATCGGCAGGACGGGGGGGGGGGGGGAGAGATCCGCCAGGCTTTTCCTGCAAGCTCTTCCTCCCTTCTTTAACCTTCCACCCTCCCCAGAGAGCTTGCCACGTATTTCTCTCTCTCTCTCTCTCTCTCTCTCTATCTCTGATCTTCACCATTTAATCCCAACTCCCTCTTCCTCTTGTGACACTCTTTAGTTCACTTCCGTCTGGCAACTTGTGGAAATTATTACATAAATGGCCTCAAAACTTTTGCTTTTTAATCTATCTTTTTCGCAGCGCCTCCTGCGCCCATTGTTGTTCGACTGAGCTCTCCTCGGCGCAGTCAGAACCCCCGTCAGTTCGACAACAGCCACAGAAAAGAAGGAGCTGTGAGCTCAAATCCGATTCGCATCCAAAATAGATTTGCCTGGGGGCAGGGATTCAATTTGCATCTTGCAAATCCGTGACAGTCTTCGGTTTCAAAGGAAGAGCCTGTGTATTTCAGTCCTTCACCTCAGTGGCAAAGGGAAGGGGGAATAAACAAAAGGTGCCTTTTCCAAGCTGCTCTCTTGAGCTAGTTTAGGTAGCCAAAGTTTGCAAAATTGTAACAAACTGTTATTGTCCTTTCTTACTGTAATTGCTCCTTTGGTTCCTGGTTTATGCTTTCTGGGCTGTAGCTCCGTATAGATCACCAGCCTTGCGTGGACCCAGGTTCAGTTGTAGGTATGCCCAGGTAGAGTCAGAAAGCTGCTTCCAGTCAGTGGGGAGAATACTAAATAAGATTCACCAATGGACTTAGTATAAGGCAACTTCCCTTGTTCCTATAAACAAACAAATAAGCAGCTAAGCAGTTTAGTAAAGGTAAAGGGTCCAGTCGTGACCGACTCTGGGGTTGCAGCGCTCCTCTCCTTCTATAGGCCAAGGGAGCTGGTGTACGTTTGTCTGCAGACAACTTCCAGGTCATGTGGCCAGCATGACTAAGCCGCTTCTGGCGAACCAGAGCAGCACACGGAAATGCCGTTTACCTTCCCGCCAGAGTGGTACCTGTTTATGTACTTGCACTCTGAGGTGCTTTCGAACTGCTAGGTTGGCAGGAGCAGGGACCAAGCAACAGGAGCTCACCCCGTCGCAGGGATTCGAACTGCAAACCTTCTGATTGGCAAGTCCTAGGCTCTGTGGTTTAACCCACAGTGCCACCTGCGTCCACATTATGGTAAATAATAGGATGGATGATTGACTTAGTGGATCATGTGTGAGTACTATATTTGCAGTTTATCAGGTAGCACAGCAGAGGACATCGTGTTCTCTCCCCACCCCACCCCCGACCCCTGTAATTGACAGCATGTACACGGAACAAAACTGACAGGCTACTTTCCTGATGGCTGGGTCTCTGACAGCATTCCTATTGCCATGGCAGAGAATCACATGTGTGACCTTATGAGCCAATTCTCCACATTTGGGGGGGGTAGCCATAGGATCCAGGGGTTGGAGCAATTCCCCTTTGAGGAAATGTTACAAAATCTGGGGCATTTTAAGTTTTAGAAAAAAGGCAAGTAATTTATTTTTTTTTGGGGGGGGGAGGTTTTTATCCTTCACATAATACTAGAACCAAGGAATATCCAATAAAGCAGATGTGAATTTCAATTAATTTAATATTTTAACTTTTTGTATGTTTTAAAGTTTTGCAATTCCCCCTCCCCCTTGATTTTCTTGTTTTATCCTTTTGTAAACTGCTTTGAGGTTGCTGTTGCTGTTGTTATTTTACATTCGATTGGTGTATATAAATAAGTAAAAATAAAATAAACCTGAAAGGTGGAAGATTCAAGACAGATAAAGGAAACACTTCTTCACACAATTAACTTCCGAAGGCGCGGAATTTGATCCCTCGAGATGTGGTGATAGCCACCAACCTGGACTTTTTAAAATGGGGATTAGGCACATTCACCAATGATGCTAAGTCTATCAATGGCTACTAGTCATGATAGTGATATAGAACCTTTGGAATGAGAGACAGTTTGCCACTGAATACCAGTTGTTGAAGATCATGAGTTGGAGAGAGTGCTGCTGTGCTCATGTCCTGCTTGCAGGCTACCCAAAGGTATCTGTTTGGTCACTGTGAATAGAGAAGTTTGGACTAGATTGACTTTTGGTCTGATCCAACTCTTCTATCCTTAAAAGTAAAGGTAAAGGGACCCCTGACCATTAGGTCCAGTCATAACTGACTCTGGGGTTGCGGCACTCATCTCGCTTTATTGGCCGAGGGAGCCGGCATACAGTTTCCGGGTCATGTGGCCACCATGACTAAGCCGCTTCTGGCAAACCAGAGCAGCACACGGAAATGCCGTTTACCTTCCTGCCAGAGTGGTACCTATTTATCTACTTGCACTTTGAGGTGCTTTCAAACTGCTAGGTTGGCAGGAGCAGGGACCAAGCAATGGGAGCTCACCCCGTCGCGGGGATTCAAACCGCCGACCTTCTGATCGGCAAGTCCTGGGCTCTGTGGTTTAACCCACAGCGCCACCCGTGTCCCTTCTTATATCCTTATTAGGCTGCTAATTTGTATCATTAAGCAGTTAAAAAAATACAGTTGTTAAAAGGGCTTTGCATGCTAGTCAAGAAGTTTTACTCAGAGTAGACTTAATGGACCAGACATAGTCATGTTCATTAATTTGAGTAAACCTTAGTTGGATACCACCCATTAGCCCTCTTCAGAGATTCAGGGTAGCTGTTCCCCTTATCTTGTTTTATTTTTTTCAAATAGGGTATGGGAAGTTAACCTTTCTCGCCAGTTCTGATTTTCTGATTCGAAAAACATCTGGACATAGCATTTGTGCTGGAAGGCTTTTACCACTGGGGGATAAAGCAGCTTTTTTGTGGGGTGCTAGGATTGATTTCCATTGGGGATGGGTGCTGGGGGAAGGGTATAAACCCCTTTCTCCACATCTTTGTTCAGACATGAATCCTCTAAACCTGAGCTCCATGTAAGTAATTTAAAGAACCAGTGGTGCAGTCACACATTTCTGTAATAATATGTAGCTGACCCCAATAAAGTTGTGAAACTGAACATAGCAATACATTTTCCTAGAACAGAAGGAAGGGTTTGATGGCTTTGCTTTGCTTGTGTTTCCACTCCTTAGGGCGAAAAATTTGGACCCTTTGCAGGAGAGAAGCGAATGCCTCAGGAGCTGGATGAAGACACAGACTGCAGACTGATGTGGGAGGTGAGGACTGCAGGAATGGCTTGGCTGCTGGGGCTCTAGGGACTCAGACGGTACATTGTTTTGCAAAAACAAAGAAGTCACACCCACATGATACATTTGAAGCACATGGTTCCCCTGCCCCAAGAATCTTGGGAACTGTAGTTTGTTTGTTTGTTTGTTTGTTTGTTTATACATACATACATACATACATACATACATACCCTGCCCATCTGGCTGGGTTTCCCCAGCCACTCTGGGCGGCTTCCAACAGAATATTAAAAATGCGATAATACACCAGACATTAAAAACTTCCCTAAACTGGGCTGCCTTCAGATGTCTTCTAAAAGTCAGATAGTTGTTTATTTCCTTGACATCTGATGGGAGGGCGTTCCACAGGGCGGGCACAACTACCGAGAAGGCCCTCTTCCTGGTTCCCTGTAACTTGGCTTCTCATAGTGAGGGAACTCCCAGGAGGCGCTCGGCGCTGGACCTCAGTGTCCGGGCTGAACGATGGGCGTGGAGACTCTCCTTCAGGTATACTGGGCCGAGGCTGTTTAGGGCTTTAAAGGTCAGCACCAACACTTTGAATTGTACTTGGAAACGAACTGGGAGCCAAATATAGGTACAATTCCTAGCATGCAGAACACAATTCCTTGCATGGGAATACAGTTCCCAAGATTCTATGAGGGAAGCGATGTGCTTTCAATGTACTGTGTGGATGTGACTGAGGGCTAGAATTGCTATTGTTTGTTAGTCTAACTAGATGTGATGGGATACGAAACTTTTTCTTCTTTGTATCATCTTTGTATCTCTTCCTCCTGTTCCTGATCACATTTACTTGCATTCAGTGTATGAGGTCTCCACACCATGTGCCTTTCTGCCCCACCACCTATTGCCAGTGATGTGAGGTGGGAGTTGGGCAACTCATAGGGTGCAGATACACTGTGTTCAACCCAGGTGGAAAGATGCAGAGCAACAGTGGCAGCTACAAAGGCGCTTCAAGGGCGCTACTACTTGTGACAAAACTAAGACTGACAAAATGTAGTTGAGAGAGAGAGAGAGAGACAGATAGACACAGAGAGAAACCTAGGGAATTATAAACCTCTACAAAGGCATGAATGGTCACAATTCTTCCAATTTAAAACCAATCCAGACTACCTTTTCTTAGTTAGGGCCATATATTACAGGTCTATTCTTGAACGGATAGCATTTCTGCTGTTTTATCTAGTTTAAATGCCTGTATTTTTAAATAATGGTGGCATGGCTGCTTTTAAATTTTAAGCGTGCTCTTGTAAGAAGTGATCCACTTTGGGTGTAGTTTTCCTTTAATAAATGCCATTTTAGCAGTGGTGCTTGTTTAAATATATTCATTACCAGGGGCACCAACTATAGGGGGACCTGAGTGCCTGAGCATCCACAAAAAATTGTTGTGGGTGCTGCACAACACAACTTCCGAGGTCTCGTAAGGTCTCGGAGCCTGACTTCTGTTGCCACCGGAAGTCAGGTTCCGAGGCTGGGGAGTGTGCAGGACATCATGACATCACACCACAATGTGATGCCATGACATCATGCTGCAACGTGACATCATGATGTCATGTGCACTGGGCACCCATAACCTGGGACCCAAGTTGGCTCCCCTGTTCATTACGAAGAACGAAGATTCTTTTTGTCTAATTAAAGTGACCTAGAAGCACAATAATCTTCTAAGTGCTGTAAATGGTTTAATATTAATTTGTTTGAGAGTGTGACAGTGTTTCAGTGACACGTAACAGCAAACCATAAAATCAGGTTTTATATGGTTCTTTGACACTTTTTCTTAACTTTCCCCCTCTTTGACCTATTTTTGGAACCTTGCACAGATTCCTGCATACCGCATTTTATGACTTCCTGAATGTTTGAACCCAAGCGGTTTACGTTTGCAGACGCTGATCTGAATACAAGTGTTGTTGTGCATTATGAATCATGCTGTGAAGTGGCCTTGAGCTGCAAGCCTGTGGCTAGGGACACGTAAAGTAAAAAGCAGCTGTCCAGGTTTACATAGATAGCCATTCAAGAAATTAGGGAGGCAGCTTCAAGTTAGTGACTGTTTTGCTGGAGCTCATATATTGTCTATTATTAGTAGTAGCAGTATTAACCACATTGCTGCACCCTCAAAACAGAGTTATGATCATTCCAGTTTATGAGGAAATATTCTTCGTAAGTTACATAGAATCTGAAAGACCCCTAATATACTTCCCACCCATCATTTAGTGGGGTGGCTTTTTTGGGCAGGGGGATGGATCAATTGTAAGAAACCTGCCCACGTTCAGACAGATTATTTTTACTTTTGTTATTTAAAAAATCTGGAAAGTATTTGCCACCAGGCCCCCTTCCTGTAAGTACCCTCCATGAAGAAATGAGAAAGCCCTATGTTTTGTAATTGTTAGTGGGTGATAACCAGACCTGGAGGACAAGGACGATCCATTGGGGGGGGAGGGTTATTGTGCCCCCAAATCACTGCCTGATCTCCCTTGGCATTACCTGTTAATGGTGCAATGTCATAATGTGAAAGACTCCTCAAATCACTATGATTTGGTCTACACACAGAGCTTATGCATACCCCTAGTATCCATGCCTATCACTGTCAGGCATCAAAAGTACATACTCATTCATGTAAACAAATAAAATTCTGCTCATTTAAAAATAGGATATCAGGTAGAGGGCTAGGCTGGGATTTTTTTCCTTGACACTTTGGTAGGCAGGGAGATTTGGATGTGCTGCAGCATTCCAGCATGTCTTTCCCCTCTTCATATTATGAAATGATACAGTGCTAGGAGGGCTATATCAAGTGCTTTTTATAAACATGCAGTCCAGATCTTAGATTGAGCCCTTCTGAGCTTGTTGAGGCTGACTATAGCTCTTAGTATGCTTGGACCTTCAAAGCTCTGTTGATTTCATTAAGGCTTTGGGGATGCTCAGTGCATTTGGGATTGCGGCCCATATCCTGTGGATGTGTGGTCTTATATGACAGAGCTATTGCTTGATCTCTGATGAGACTAGTATTCTTGGAGGGCGTCTTAAGGGAGCCCTGCTGGGTGGCTTGGTGTTTTGCTTTGTAAAAACAGTTCCTAAATGAAATATTTTGTGCTCATAGAGTGACAGTATTTGTAATCAAGTGACATCATTGCACTGCCTGCAATGCTCTTGCAGCTGTCTGCTTTTGATGAAATTAGGCATCAATACACCCTCAGCTGATGGGCTTCTGAGGGTTGAAACAAATAACAGTATCCTCAATTCAGTTGCCAAATTAAGAACCATGGCATGAAGTATGCAAACATTTTATCTGTAAGCCACAGACCACTTGCTCTGAAGTTATCTCATTGAAGTTCCTTCACTAAAGACCACATGACTAATGCAAACCAACACTCGGCTTGGCAGAACATTTATTGGGCTTTACCTCTCTGGATAAGGCTCCTAAAATACCATTAAAAATATTTGCCATCACCTACAATATTCTGCAGAGGACTGAAGGTCCCTGAATAATAAACAGCAATTAATCTCTATATATTCCTTTCTATTGATAGTCTATGGATAAAGAATCCAAAGCGCTGGCCTGGTTCGCACCTAACGCTAAACCATGTTTTATTAAACCATAGTTTGTTTGTTCATCTGAATCAACTTAATTGGGGTTTGTTTAATACCAACAAACCACAGTTTGAAGCCATGGTTTGTTGTTGGTTTATGAACCTTGATTTGTTTTAACTATGGCCTGATGTTACATGTAAACCCAGTACTCTTAACCATGGTTTGTTTGGCCATCACACTCCAGGTGCACATCAAGTTGCAAAGTTACAAGGTAAGAGCAGCTGGAAAGCAAGCCAATCTTTATAAAAGCAAACTATAGTTTGTTTGCTCAATCGACTGGGGAAAAGTCTTCATCTTTTAAATTTTCTGCCAGAATTGGAAGCAAATTGCAGGCATGGTTGTCCCTTTTGAGGGAATGGCGTTGGCAAATTTCAAAAAGATAGATGCAACTTGCCCATGGAGGGGCTGCACTTCATTAGATAGAGTCTCTGAACGGCATTGCTCTAACCCAGCAGCTTCAAGATCAATGCAAGGCTAACATTTAGCTTCTAAGAGCATCCCATACCAGGTCTCATGTGTTCTGTTTCAAAATTAAATTAGAGGAGTCACGGAATATCCCCCCCACCCTTGCTGTTTATATGGGAATGTAGTTTCTTGCCTTTCTTATTTAATCACAATCCACCAAATGGCCTCCAAAATTGCAAGCAATGTGTTTACTGAGTGCTGTAGCAGAAGCCATCTGTTTGTTATCATTGCTGTGCTGACATTTTCCCCTCACTGGCTGTAAAGTATTTGACTTCAGCTCACAGCCATGCTTATGTAGTGCAACAGAATACATCCCGCTGCTTAATCCTTTTGGCCAAACGCAACATGATTTCATCTCAAACTTGAGAGAGTCATTTAGCAAGTTGCCTGAGCCACATATGCCAACATAAGCTTTCTCCATTTTTTTTTTGCCATTCACCAATAGCCTTCCCCAGAGTGCTGTTTTTTTGTGTGTTTTTTTTTAAACCAACTTGCATTATTGGCTTGCATCAAGGCCACTATTTCACATTGGTGGGTAGTATTCACTGAAGGTGTTTGAATCTACATTTCACTGCTGTATACAAACCAATGGCCCCCAGTTCCTGAAAGTTGTAATCTCTTGTCTCCCAGCTTGTGGTAAAGTGCATTCAAAGGAGTTGTTAGTTCCCTAGTTATTGTCTTTTTTCAAATTAAACAATCTGTTGTACCTCACAGAGTTACAGTTTCCAGAGTGGTTTTCCAGAGTGGTTTCAGAACTGGTCCTCTTTCCAGGGAACTAACTCTGGGTCTCCTAACAACTATCAGTGAGTGCCCTTAACAAATTACAGTTTCCAGAATTCATTGTGGGGAAACCATGACTGTTTAAAGTGGTATAATGGTGCTTGAAATGTAAAGTGTGGATGTGACTTCTGTCTGTTTAATGGGAATCAACAGACAAAATAGCAAAACTCCCTTTAGCTAAGAATAGAAATAATGTTCACATTAACTGCAAATAGCTAGAAATCATGACTGATTTTGGTGTTTTTCCCCATCACAGTATAAGTGATTAAAGGCTTCAATCCTATACCCATTTACCTTGGAGTAAGCCCAATTGCACAAAACTCACATAGTTAGGTTTTCTAAATTCCACTGAGGTCAATATACTTTTAAACAATCTAACTGTGTACATGATTGCAGCCATAGTATTGTCCAAAAGGAAAGCTCCAATTTTCCTGAATGCATTACTTGTCTGCTTATTTTAATGTACAGTTTTGTGTACGGCAGTGGTCCATTCAGGCTTTCAACCCTTTCATGTTGAAAACACAGCATAAACTTGTGCTATTGTGGAAATGTCAGGCTGTTTGAAACACGATAGCTTTAATTTCATCCATATTCATGCAAGAATTAACACTGGCCTTGCTTGTCTGTCCCAAACAAAGTCAAATACATATAAATATAACTTTTTGGAGCAGATTTTGCTTTTTCAGAGGCACATACAAATCCTGTTATCTTCAAAAACAACTTATATTCACATCTCTGTCTCTTTGGGGAACAAAATCTCTCCTTGGAAAAAGAGTAGTAAATTGGAGAGACTTTTATATTGTTTTGCAGAACCTCGGGAGCAGTTAAATAAAGAAAATAAGAACAGTGCTGAGAATACTCTCATGTGGTTTTTGCTAAGCTTTGTCATAATAAGGCTACCTGTGTCTGTCAGTGAGGAAGTAGGATGTCCCTTCCCTAGGGTAACTAAGACAAAAAACTTATATGGTGCAGTGGGTTTTGTGTCAGACTAGGACCTGAGAGACTCAGGTTAAAATCCTCATCCAGCAATGAAGCTTACTGGACGACCCTGGGACTGTCACACTCTTAGTCTGACAAACCTCTCAGGATTGTTGTGAGAATAATATTGTGGAAGAGGTAGATAACCATACATATTAGAAAACAAGACCATCAATGGCCACTAGTCATGATGGCTTACATGAACCAATGGTTTTTAATGTATTACTTCCAGAAGCTGTGGGTACCCAGGTGATGTAGAAAATGAAGCCACATATTACCAGGATGTTAAACTACTATATCACCTTAAGATTCAACCTGTTGCTTTATGGGGATGGAGAATGTGACCTCCATTGTGTTGCTAGCATGAGTAGACCAGACCACTCATGTTAGCAATTAAGTGCATAAGAATTTTGGGTGATGGGTTGAATCCTACCTTTGAAATCTGGAACCAGTGCTTTTCCTAACAGTTTCTCATTCCTTTTGGAAGAGATCCACCTAACCTTTTGAAAAGTGTGGTTTCAACAGAATAATATTTTCTTCCCAGAATTTTCCTGTTTCTGTCCGAAGTGAGTACACAATGCTAAAGAAGTATATTATAATATCACTCAGGAACAATGGTCAGTTACAGTCCCTTTTGGCACAACGGTGAACAGTTTGCTAGTTTGTTCTTTTATTTTCCAGGTCCAAGGTCTTAGAGGCTCAAGTTAAAAGATGGAAAAGGAAAATATATATGAAGTATTGAATAGACTGCTTTGGTTAATATTATTAAAGCACGACCTTCCCTCTTCAGAGACCCTGGAAGAGGGTCCATTACTGTTTCATAATATGAAAACATTTTCTTATAGGAATTGGGAAAATGCTGCAACCACATGTGATGAGGAGCAGTACAAATGTGGGTTTTGAAAGGCAAATGAGGAAGAATGGTTGGAGTTGAAAGTGCTAAGGAGAGCACAGATGTGTTTACCTTTTCCCAACCTATAGCTGTATCTGGGCAGATTGCCAGGGGCTTTAGCATATCTTAAACAATTTTGTCCAGAACATTTCTCTGGGTAGCCCATTGCAATTATTATCTCCAGTGCATCCATTATTTTTTGAAGGCCTTTTAATAACATTTTTTAAAAAATCTTTGAATATTGTTGATCATAATTTTTAGTATTTTCTCTGCTGTTTGACAGTGGTTGGTTGGTTTTTAATCTTTTCAATGCAGTTGTAGCTCTTCTGTTGTGTAAAATGAGATGTGCCTGGCCTTGTTTTACTGTTTTGTTCAGGTTTTGATATTGGTATGAATTTGTATTATTCTTCTACTCCAGAGTTGTTCTTATTTAGCTTATTGTCACATAGCTTTTATTATGAGGTGACAAATATAAATAAATAAATAAGCAGTGAGAGTCACTAGTTTATATATTTTTATTGGACTCGGCAGCTCAGCTAAAGAAGACCTTTATTAAAGTAGACCAGAGATGGGGAACCAGAGACCCTCTAGATGTTATGGGAAGCCAGCTCCCATCAGTTGCAACCAGCATAATGCCAGCCCAGAAGAGTTCATTCCATAATACTGTACTGGTGCTAAAATAACCCACCTCCACCTCACTAGAAACTGACAATAATCAGACTTGTGCCTGTGGGAGTTTTAGTCTAACACCAGGGGGTGGTCAGGTTTCCCTATGCCTGCTGTAGACCAAGATAAAATGGGAGCAGGTATGGGTTTGGAAGTGGGATTTGGAAACTATCTAGTTTTGTTCTTTTGACAAAACCAGAAGTGTGGGAAGCAAGCCCTTCCGTAGGTAACTTATAGCACAGGTTTTCACCTGTTTCTCTCTCTCTCGTGTGGACTGTGTAAGATGCTTAAATTCCATAGTTAACCTTTTGTCCTGTCTGAATTAGTGAAGGTTGTTGGTTATCCAGTGGGGCTGTTTGAGATAGGATGGAGCTTATTAATGAATATGAGCCCTGAGAAAAGAAGGCTGTCAATTTGAAGAGAGTTAGCAAAAGAGAAGGGCCAGTTGGTGATGGAGGTACACGGGCCAAGAATGTGAGACATGGTAAATTCCTGGCAAAGTGATAGATTTGCTTTTTCTGCCAGACAGGGTAAGATAGGCTAGGAGGGTGAACCCTGGTGATTTACAGTGGAATATTTTAATTGTCCCACAAAGTTTTAGTTTTGCTTAACGGTTCTTGCCATTGCAGGTGCGTGGGAACAAAGGTGAGGTGCTTTATGTGCTGGATGCCAGCAGTCCAAGGCATTCCAACTGGCTCCGCTTTGTACATGAAGCACCATCCCAGGAACAGAAGAACCTGGCTGCTATCCAGGTAAATTTGGTAACCGCTTATTATCCTTAATCTCCGTAAAGGACTGCTCATTTGTTTATTTATTCCCCTGTGGCAGCCTGGAAACACTGTATGAAAAAATTGAAAATTCACAGGGCGATACCTGTGCACTTTTTTTATTGGCAGTCAACAGACCATTGAAACATTTTGTAGCACTTGACAATCACACTTGATAAAATTTATAAACATGCACATGAATACATGGAGTCTATGAAATTGGAGTAAAAGCTAGGCAAGAATAATCTTACAAATATCTCAAAATCATGTGTTATAGATATAAGCAGTGTTTTTTTCTGGGGATATGCAGGGGTACACATACCCCTAAACATTTTGTGAATCTTTGAACTTTTGTCCGTTTACTGTATTTATTCTTCCCGATTTCAACTATAAAATGGTGATTTTCTTGAGTCAAAATGAGAGTACCTCTAATCATTTTTTAAGAAAAAAAGCACTGGATATAAGAAATTAAAAATACAGTGGTATCTCAGGTTACATACGTTTCAGGTTAAACGCTTCAGGTTACAGACTCCGCTAACCCAGAAATATTAGCTCGGGTTAAGAACTTTGCTTCAGGATGAGAACAGAAATTGTGCAGCGGCGGTGCAGTGGCAGCAGGAGGCCCCATTAGCTAAAGTGGTGCTTCAGGTTAAGAACAGATTCAGGTTAAGAACAGACCTCCAGAATGAATTAAGTTCTTAACCCGAGGTACCACTATAGTGGCTAATCATACATCCACATTCAAGCAGATTAGCTTTGGATGCTGTGCCTGAACTATGGAAATTCGAAAGAACTGTAAAAACTATTTAGAATCTGAAGACAGCTGTGTGAGTATGCTTTGTTAAGTGGATAAGAGTGCTAAGAGTTGTAGGGAGCATCAACTATCTCTCCACTCCCACCCCGTCCTCAGATGCATGATATACTTTTTGACGCCTCCCCCAGTGGAAGGAAATGGTTAATCAAAGTTTTTGGAATACTGCCAGATTGAATGAGGACTTGTAAGGCCATGTATGACATATAGCTATGAAGTCATTGGCCTTTTGTTGGAAGTTGTAATCAGTGTGACAGCAACAATAAACCTTCAGTCTTTTCTCCTGTCATTCAACTGATCAATGAACATATAAAATTCCCAATGCCTCTCAAAGCTAAATGTGTTTTCTGCTTGCTTTCCTGTACCTTAATCCCATTTTGAGTAACCTGGTTGAATAAAAAGGCCTGCATTTGCTCCTGTGTTTGCCAATTACATTTTTATACTTTTTTTTAACAGTGGTGTCTGCTGGTGACTACTGTATGGCGAAGGCCCCTTAGCTGTTAATGTCAAAACTCTTTATAAACAGGATCGCAGCCAACCCTTTCTATTCAAGCACTCTGTTCATTAGCCACCAGACATTCTGGTGGTCTGGACAAGCTCAGCAAACTGGAATAATGAAATGGCAAAGGTTAATGGGAAAAGAGGTATTTACTGTGATGCAGTAGAGTGGTTTAAAGTCATACTTAACAAATGTAATAATGGAAGATTAGTATTTGAGAATCAGTCAACACTGTAATAAATATGGCACAACTGGTCTGCCTCTCAGCCTAAAAGGCAGGCGGGAATTTGGGAGAGGAGGTAAGCCTCAAAGAAATCCAAGACAAATGCATCTTATTATAAGAAGACAAGGAGAGTCTTGCTGGCTCAAACCAAAGCCCTATCTGGTCCAGGATTCTGTTCTCACATTGGCCAAACACATGACTATGGCAAGCCCATAAGTGGGACATGAGCATAATAGTCCTCTTCTGCTTATGATCCTGCTTGTGGTTTTATATATTTACCTACTGCAATAGTTACTCATCATAAGGCAAGTTTGAGGTTTTCTGTTCATTTCTTGTGCTGCCCATAAGCAATTATATTAACAAAAGGTAATGCCTAAATACATAGTGTTTGACTTTTATAAGAAAGCAGGGCCACCTTCTTGTTTTAGGGGACCCATGGGAGACTGCACTCCCTATATCAGTGGTCGTCCTATATCACCACCATCATTCAAATATACAGACCACATCAAAGAAGACTAAAACAAACAAGCACAGGTTCCAAAAACAAAGTTTAGCAAACTCCAAAAATGATAAAACCACCCATCTAAATCTAAAAAGCAAAACAATTTCATCGGCTGTAAAATTTGAATCGCCATAAACCTTCAGTGGGCACCTAAACATCATTGTGCCAGACATCTGTCTGATTTTGAGTGGCTAGTCTGAGAACTGCAGCTACAGGAGTAAAAGCCCAATTTATAGTACAGGCTAAGCACACCCATCTGCTGGACAGAGATACGGTAGGAGAGATGGTCCCATAGATACCCTGGTTCCAAGTTGTTTGTTGACATGGCAGTCCTGGCAGCAGTAGTGTTGGACACATTGCTCTGAGCCACCATTTAAATTTCTAATAGTGTAGGGTCATTATGGGAAATTAAAATGGTAGCTGAGCGCATGTATTTGAGCATAAACCTTCAGCAGTAGTCTTAGAATCTTTGTATGGGGTGAACGAAGGCTAAAACCGACACCCGGGGTGGGGCAAACCACCGGCTATGCATGCGTTGTGCCACTACATACGACGCATGCATGGTGTCACTATGTAGGGCGCATGTGCGGCGTCACTACGTACAGTGCATGTGTGTGACACCACACATGTGTTATACATAGTGGTTTGTTGCTGGCCCCAGTGCCGTACAGATGGTGGTGTGATCTTCTGCTCATGGCTGCAGCGGCAGCAGAAGGATACACTGCCATCCGTATGGCGCTCGGGTGGTGCCAGTGGCAAACCGCTATGTACAGCGCAGGTGCGGCGTTGCTACGAACAGTGCATGCATGTGACACAGCACATGTGTTGTATGTAGCGGTTTGCTGCCGGCACTGCTCGAACACTGTATGGACAGTGGCAGGATCCTCTGCTCACAGCTGCAGCCACGAATGTGGCTGCGGCGGGGCGAGAACCCCATGGGGTGCCTTCTTGTCACCTCTCCAGACATGGCACCCAGGGTGAACCGCCCCCCCGCCCCCCCTTGCGACGACACTGTCTTTGTAATCTTGGTAATCTTAGAAATGACTCTCTCTCAAACTTTTATCAACTCATGTCCCCCTTCTGGATTTTTGCTGCCTTCTGCCCTTCCCTTCATGCCCTGCTTCTAACAGCAGAGGTATGGATTTCATACAAAATTTGTAACTGAAGCAGTGCTTGGTTTTATAAATGAAGTCATAGTCTTAGGAGCCTTGGTTTGGTTTGAGTGTGGTTTGGTGTTACCATACACTCTACCCTGCTTCCTTAACCATGGTTTGCTGAGCTCCCAACCGCAAATGCTCAACAAACTGCAAAAGTTTTGACTCAAGAGCAGCTGGAAAACAAGTCCAGGTTTGAAGAAACTAGCCATGGTTTGTTCGATTGTCTATGGGACAACTTGTGGTTAACTAACGATTTGTTAAAACAAATCATGACTTAGCCTTTGTGTATCAGGGCCTTTGTGTGCCTGGACATATGTTTCCTTGAAACAAGAAAAAGTAAGAGCCAAATCTTTTTACATTAGGAGGGAGGGGGAATGTCTTATAACTTGATTTATTTTAAGTTTTTATTGTGGTAAATTAAAATTCCCTGGAACATGCAACAGTGCTATAAGAGGAAAAAGTAACTCTTTGATGAAGGCAAGATATCCTGATAGCTATCTGAACTCCACTGTGAAATACACATCTTGAAGAAAATATGTAATTAATTTTCTTCTCCCCATTCCATCACTGATGTAAGAGCAAAAAATGTGTCTGGTCCTTGAACACTGTTGCTTTTGACAAGTTTTTCAAATTAAATTGACTTTCCCATTTCATAAATAAGTCATTTTAATCCATTACAGACCTATCTAAGCTTTAGAAGTAAGATATCCCCTGTTGGCAGTTTCAATGAATCTTAGCATATTGCAAATTAAAAATCATTATCTTGCTGTAGCCTCGCAAAGCTTGTCACAAAATATATGGCTACGTACACCGTAAGCAAGGCTCAATTAACTTTACTGGATGTTGATCAGATAAGAATTATGATTTACGACAGCACTTGGCAGCATTTGCTAGGTAAATGTGATTCTCCTTTTGTTTCCTTTGGAAGAACCCAAAGCACTTTGCTCATCTGATAACTGTTGCCCAAGTCTGCATTACCATAAAACCGTTGACTGAACCATATGAAAGCAAGCCCATGGAAATGAGAGGTGGGCAGAAGCAAGAGGCTTGCAAGTTCCAATAAAGCTATAGAGACAGAGCACTGGCTCCATGTTTTGAGAAGACCCTGGGCAAAGTGTCCTCTCATGGACTTCCTCTTATGTAGACATAGGTCCCATTGGGAACACCTGCCCACAGTGTTGGAAGCAGCAGGAGTAGTCCATGGGGGGCTGGGAACTGGCATTGTAATCTCTCAGAGTTCCATAGTGCAACTCCATGGCATCCTGAAAAATGTCAGTGGGTGGCTTGCAGACAGTGTCCTGACATCCCAAGGGACCTGCTAGCTGTCTAGGGTGCTGGTGCTGAGCTTGATATACTGCAAAACAAACATCTTTATGTCTTCAAAAGCATGCAAAATTAGTAGGTGGGCTTCCACAGGATACATGATTCCAGCCATCTGGAAATCAGTTACCAACTGAAATTAGGCACACAACTAGCATTCTGATATTTGGGCAGCAGTTGAAGACATTTTTGTTTAAGAAGGTTTTTCCTAAAATGTGACTCAGACATTTTATGGACTATTAATTGTACAATTGAATTGCCGAAATGGTTTTATTGCTGCTAGTTCATTCAGTCTACAGGTTTTTTTTTGGTATTTTATCTTACTTTTCCTTCTATCGTACACTGCTCTGGAACCTTTGATTGTGAATTGATTTATAAGTTTGCAAAGAGTAAATAAATAAATAGCAAGCTCAGTTGCGTCTGACAGGAACAGTCAGCCTTGTGGTACCTTAAAGACTAACAGATTTACCATGGCACAAACTTTTAAAAAAGTGCAACAAGACTATGTAGTTCCTGCTGGAACTTTTGAGCAATATATTATTTTCAAAACAATGGGTGAGATTCAAGTAGATTGGATGATCAGAATGAGCTCTAGTCGTGCAGTGGGATTTCCCCCTCTCTCTTCCACATGTATGCCCCCCACCCAAATCTGCTGTAGGGGCTGGGGAAACCCCCAGAATGGGTTTAGGGCTTGTGGAGGTGCACAGAGGAAGGAGAGGGGAGAAAGTCCTATTGCACAAGCAGACCTTGTTCAGCTCATGCATACCCTGCTTAACACTACTATGAATTCCACCTTGTATCTAACAAAAATTGCTTGTTCTTGTATCCACTCAGAAACTTGTATTTCTTTTAAAAATTAATTTAGCTGTATGCTTTCCTAAAGGGACTGTCCAATCTCTTGCTTTCCCCAACAGGAAGGAGAAAATATTTTCTACTTAGCTGTTGAGGATATTGAAACAGATACAGAATTGCTGATTGGTTACCTTGACAGCGACATGGAAGAAGTAGAGGAAGAAGAAGAGGAAGTAATTACTAACCAGGAAGAAGATGACAGCATCATCAGCAACAATGGTAACAGCAACCATAAGGAATTGCAACAAACTAATGAGAAAGGTATGGATGAAATTAAATGAATGGAAATGATGTGCATCTGTTTAAAAGCACACAGTCATTTCTTAATTTAAGAAAGCGAGGGGCACATTTTCCTCTATAGTTGAGGATTTTGATAATTTCAGTTTTCTGAACAGTTTACAAATTGCAGCCTTTACAAGCTATCAAGACTACTTCAGACTTCGTACCTTTCTGCCTCAATAACTACAAAACAGGATTCTATTCTTAAACATTACTGAAAAAATCACACCTCTCTATGTGACTCTTTTATAAGATTATTTCAGTTTTAAAATATATATTTAAGGTCCTTTCTTAAGTGTCTTAGAAGGCACTCACAGCAAAGGACTTATCTTTGTTTAATGAAATAACATAAAACTCCAAAAAAATCAAACAGCAGTACATAAATAAGGACTTTACAGAAGTGATAGAATTTACATAAATGATATAATAAAACAGAGCCCCGTCCCTCTCCCCCAAGTTCTTTCTTTTAGGTGGTGTCACCACAAAACCTCTTCCTTGAAAGTTGATCTTTCAGTTGGCTGGAAGGAACATTGCCTCATCTCAGTCACCTCAGCAACACAGCAGTCTCCTCAAAAGAGTTTCCACTTAGGAAAAGGAAACTTACAGCCCTTTATAATATAAAGAGCACCCGTTCTCTTTCCAACTGTGGCCAGAATTATTATAGCAATGTATGCTAGAGGGTTACACCAAGACAAAGCGATGCAGAAAAATAAGTTGCACAGAAATGAACAAACATAATTAGATTTCTTTGCTGTTTTCAGATGTCAGCTGAATTAATCATGTTTCTTTCTGCAGTAATATGAACTCACCACAGCTTAGAAAATATTGTGGATCCTCCTTCATTAGAGCATTTTCTTAGAATATAATCTTCCAAACATGTTATACACAGGAAATGATTTTTCTGAATTTTTCTTCTTCGCTGTGCAGATTCTTTTAGTTGCAAAGAGGACCATGCCTGCCCTAACTGTGAATCCAGTTTTGCCAGCCAGGAAATCCTAGCTGAACACCTTCAGACATTGCACCAAAAACCCAGTGAGGAAAAGGAATTCAAATGCAGGAATTGTGGGAAGAAATTCCCTGTTAAGCAAGCTCTGCAGAGGCAGTAAGTCTAAAACATCATAAACTATGACTTCCATGTCACTCAGATCATTAACTTGAATTTCTCTTTAGGGATGGATGAATTGTAAAGTTAGCAAACATATTTAGACTACTTTAACATGTACATTTTTGAGCGCATACTGAAAGCATCTTGTACTTGGAATATGACAGAGTTGTGTGCAGACAGATGCACTGCAAGCAGGTACACTTCTCAGAGAAGTCAGGATTGGCTTTGACTTCCTGCTGAATGTTCCCTCAGTGAGAAACCTGGGTTTGTCCTGTGTTGTCTATGAAATGGAAGTTTTGGAGGAGAGGTTTTCTTCTGGGTAGGCTTTCATGTTAGTCTCCAAGCATTCCATCCAAGTACCACAGACCATGTTGGCTGTTTTCGCTGAACATTTTGGACAGGCGTAGGCAAACTCCGGCCCTCCAGATGTTTGGGACTACAATTCCCATCACCCCTAGCTAACAGGACCAGGGTCAGGGATGATGGGAATTGTAGTCCCAAACATCTGGAGGGCCGGAGTTTGCCTATGCCTGATTTTGGATAATGCAACAAGCTTGGGGAACATCATCATAGCTATGAATGTATGGGTTCTGTATGGGTTGGGTGGAGCCATCTTCCTGACAGTGACATCACTGCTGCTTACCTGGAGGCAGATGGGATGGGACAGAGAGACTGCAAAGTTGGGGTCACCAACTAGAGAGTGGTGGCCCCACCAGTGTCTCTACACAGTCCCAACCTTGCCACCACCTTGACTCTTGAAGACCTGGTCCAGGTAAGAACAGCAAAGCCAGTCAAAGTAAAGGACCCCTGGATGGTTAAGTCCAAGTTTTGGGAGAGCATCTGTGTCCCACCACAAACTCCACTACTAGTTCACCTTCACCTTTCCTTCCAATGTTCTTTAATATTGTGGGTGCTGTAGACTTAGCTCCACAACTTCTTTGAATGCAGCGTGGAATCAAGACAACTCCACTGAAAGCACAGCACATTGATTGCACTAAATTGTATAAACCCAAAAAAGCCCAAGTAAGTTATGAACACTCATAAGGACTCGTAAGAATTGGCACCTCAGATAAGTTTCAGCTGTAATTATTTCTCCCCAAAATGCAAAAAAAGCAGCAAACAAGCCCCGTGATGTCACATAATATTTATTGTACATAGAAATTGCATACGACCAAAGCTTGATATCTCAGTTGGTAGAGCATGAGACTCTTAATATCAAGGTTGTGGGTTCGAGTCTCCCATTGAACAAAGGATTCCTGCATTGCAGGGGGCTGGACTAGATGACCCTCACAGTCCCTCCAATTTTACGAAAACAGAAGAGAACAATTAAAATTGAATTAATAGCAAATAAAATCACATAACCACAAGATCAAACTTGCAGCCTATTTGTAACATATTAAAATGAGAAAAGATACTATGTTTTAAAGGTATACATGAAGCAGCTATAGGTAGACAATTTGTGAGAGGTTATTAAGTCTGACATCAATAGAGAGATACATTTTGTTTCTCTTCAGGGGATTCAGCATGTGAAAATATTCCATATTTTAATTGTGTATTTTGTTTTTGAAAAAGCAACCCTGGGAATGTGTTTGAAGTGCAGAGGAAAATTTCTTAAGTAAATATTGTACATTGGAGCAGCAGCAGACCTCTGGAAATTATACAGGGCGTACAACACAGTTCCTCTTTCCAGCAGAAATGGAACATTTTCTCCCCCATTGATTTGCATTCTGAGACACAATCTTTGTAAAAAGCAACCATTTAAATAAAATGGGCATGGTTTCCCAACAAGGCAGGAATTTTAGAAGTTTTCTGTATATTGGTGTGTATTATAAACAACGTATATGTAAGTAGATCACTGGAATGCAGTGGATCTATAGAGATCCATTGTGAATCAGTTGTTCTGGATGTGTTAACGTTTGTGGAAGGGGAAAAGAACGAAGGGTTTTCAAAGGTTTATGTTGTAGCTGTTAATCCCAACATGTTTCAGAAATAGTTTTCCTTCTTCAGGGGCATTTTGTTTGGTCAGAATACCACAGAAAAATACTATTGCGTTCTGCAGCCTTGAAAATATGGAAACCACCCAAAAAAAAGCCACAATATTTTTTTTTTACTGGGCTGATGGGAGTTGTAGTCCAAAATAGAATTTGCTGATCCAGCCCTAAAACTTGATTGTTGATTTGTGTTGTGATTGTGGTCTCCCCTTCAAGACACCTAGTATATTAAAAACAACAACAAAAAGTATATATATAATTTAACTATAAACTTTGTAAATAAGATTACAGTGGTACTTCGGGTTAAGAACTGTTCGTAACCTGAGGTACCACTTTAGCTAATAGGGCCTCCCGCTGCCGCTGGTGGCACCAATGCACGATTTCTGTTCTCATCCTGAAGCAAAGTTCTTGACCCAAGGTACTATTTCTGGGTTAGCAGGTCTGTAACCTGAAGCGTCTGTAACCTGGGGTACCACTGTACTCAATTTAAATAGCATACCTTGTTGCATTAAGATGGCTAAACCACAAATTAAGTGGCTCGTCGTAATATTCTTAATTTCCTTCAATAATTCATATATAGTGGTACCTCGGTTTAAGAACAGTCCTGTTTATGAACAGTTCAGTTTTTAACTCTGCAAAACCGGAAGTAGTGTTCTGGTTTGTGAACTTTACCTTGGTCTACAAATGAAAACTGAATGTTGGAAGGGCACCGTCGGCGGGAGACCTCATTAAGGAAAGCGCGCCTCGGTTTAAGAATGGATTCGGTTTAAGAACGGACTTCAGGAATGGATTAAGTTCGTAAACCGAGGTACCACTGTGTATGTATGTATGTATGTATACACACACACATTTCCCCCTTGAACAAATATCCCAGGATGTGTGGGAAGCCAGTCAATCCCTGAAATCTAATTGACCTTGGAATGTTTGACTTCTGTTTTATTTTGGAAAACAAACAAACATAGCATAAATGTGGATGGCATCAAACGCCCACACAATTTAAGCAAATTCGTATATTTTCTTTTGTCTTTCCTGACAGTGTTCTCCAGTGCACAGAGAATGTCAACCCGGGAGATAGTTCGAGAAGTTTTCAGTGTTCTGTTTGCAACACATCCTTCAGCTCAGAATTGAGGTTCCATGTCAGAATTACTGGACTGCTCTCATCCTGCTGCTGACCTCCCTTTTGCATGCTTGCTTGCTTTTCAAGTTCCTTAGTTGTTTTCTGAACCCTAACTGTGCAAGACGAGAAATGCTTTCATGCCTACCTGCAGTAGGTTATGCATGAAGTGACCCCAGAAGTCTTCTGCGCAGCATGTGTTAAGCGCACTCAAAATGCCTGCTGAGAGGCTGATTCTTTTTGGAGAGGGGGGAAGTATCTTATTTCTTGATGTATTATTTTTTCCCCACTCTCCCAACTCTCCAACATCAGCTACGAGCAACACAAAGAAGCATGCCGAGGTGATGCCAGGTTCGTATGCAAGGCTGACAGCTGCGGGAAGAGGTTCAAGAGCAAGGATGCTCTGAAAAAACACAAGGAAAATGTGCACACTGGTAAGCATAAAATGTTGAAATCACCGGTGTTCAGGGAATCACTTTCCAGCGTTCAAGTTTCCTGAGCTGAATCTGGATTCAAGAAAATGTCGGCCTATCTGTGGCTACTAACTGGGAAAACCAAAGTGTTCAGAGGAAGAGAATGAGAGGTCCATGTTCAGCTCCATGTTGAGAGCCAGTGTGGTGTAGTGGTTAAGAGCGATAGACTTGCAGTCTGGGGAACCGGGTTCGCGTCTCCGCTCCTCCACATGCAGCTGCTGGGTGACCTTGGGCTAGTCACACTTCTTTGAAGTCTCTCAGCCTCACCCACCTCACAGAGTGTTTGTTGTGGGAGAGGAAGGGAAAGGAGAATGTTAGCCACTTTGAGACTCCTTCGGGTAGTGATAAAGTGGGATATCAAATCCAAACTCTTCTCTTCTTCTTCTTCAGAAGCAGGACACTTGAGTACCAGTTTGTGGAAAGAAACACAAGCACATGTTTTATCACTATCATCTGAGCCCAGAGTACCCTTCTCAAAGGCAGTCGGCTGTGGTTTTCAATTGGGGAGTGCGCTGTTGCATTTAGATCCTGTTTGTGGGCTTTCCATGGACATCTGATTGGCCACTGTGAGAACAGGATGTTGGCCAAAGATGGACCTTTGGCCTGATTTGGCAGGGCTCTTCTCATGTTCTTGGGTAGCTGCATCATCTCAGGATGGCCAGAACTGATGTCCATGCCAGTTTGGTTCTTCCTGCTATTCCCCTGGCTGCGTGCTGGGCTTACCTGAGTGGCAGTGCTTGGGTGCGGGAATTTTAACATGATGAGCGGTTTTCACAGATCCAGCTACTGCTGCCAGGTGAGCCTGTGAGACACTGACTGGCCAAGTTCACAGATGACCATTCACCTCCCCCCCCACAACCCCCCTGACAATCATTGTGGGCTTCCTAAGAACAACTGGTTAGTTATTGTTGAAGACAGAGTGCTGGACTAGGTGAAACTGGATATCCTTATGTGCTTCCGTTTTGAAACTGTTGGACAGACATGGTTCAGAGCATTACAAGGTTACACTTTTGCATGCTACCTGGAGTGCACAGGGGAGGGCTAATGATCCTTCACTACATTTGAGTCTCTATGCTTTAAATCAAACTATGACTTGAAAGGGGCAGCCTCCCTAATCTGTAGTGTAATATTGGACCATAGTATGAGAAATTATGGAAGTTTAAAGCAGATGTGGCAGGCAGAGTTAAGAGAAAAGATAAGAGGCTCACAGGTGGGACACTGTCTGGCAAAGTCACCCTTTAAATATGGTACCTGCATGCCTAGAGGAAGCCTCCCTAAAAATCATTTTCCACTGGTATTGGACACCAATAAGACTAGCTAAAATAAACCACAGGCTGTTTTTCCTTCTGCACTGGAAAGGGTGTTGGAAGCCTGGGTATTATATTCATGTATGAGGGAAGTGCAGCATTGTTCAAAAATTCTAGATCAATGTTTTCACAGTTGTTTCTATTATTATTTCTAAACAACCCTTGAAGACTAATCAAGTCTTAGCACTCCTCCTCCTGGATCTTAGCTCAAGTTGTGCTAAGGGTAACACAAACAATTAATTGGTTTTCTTCTTACTGTGGATTTTTGAGGGAGTTTTAAAAAAGTTTCATAAGGAAACTTGCACATTTGACTTTTCCAGCATTGTAAAGATGGCCAACGTTTTGCTTTTAAGACATAGAACAGACATGTAATGTTGGCAGTGGCTCACAGATTAGCCTGAAGCATAATTGGGATGAGTGGAAACTTTTCTTGGTATTAGTTAATTATGTTAAAGGGCAGAGGAAAACATGTATTACAGATTCAAATCAGAAGAGGTTTGGGTGTGCTTTCAATTTATTTATGACAGGAAAATCTAAGAGATACGTGTAAACTTCCAGAAACTAATGGAATTGGAAACCTTGTTTCCTGCACATGTCTGAACCTCCAAAAGAAGCCACTAGCCCTTACTTGGCTTGTAGAACTTGGCAGGGAGAAAATACAATAGTGACACAAATGGTAGTTTAGCACCAGAACCTGGGACAGTAGCACTGTTGGAGCTGGAGGCAAGACTGAGAACCCATCCGCTCTGCATGTTTAAAGGGGTATCATACCACTTAAACATTCATGGCTTCTCCCAAAGAATCCTAAGAACAGCAGTTTGTCAAGGGTGCTGAGAGTTGTTAAGAGACACCTATCTCCCTGACAGACATACAGTTCTCAGAGTAGCTTAATAGTTAGACCCTCAACCGAGGGAACTCTGGTAATTGCAGAGGGCCTTCTCGGTAGTGGCACCAGCACTGTGGAATGCCCTCCCATAAGATGTCAAGGAAATAAACAACTATCTGACCTTTAGAAGACATTTGAAGACAGCCCTGTTTAGGGAAGTTTTTAATGTTCGAAGTTTTATTCTGTTTTTAATGTTCTGTTGAAAGCCACCCAGAGTGGCTGGGGAAACCCAGCCAGATGGGCGGGGTATAAATTATTATTATTATTATTATTATTATTATTATTATTATTATTATTATTATTTGTTGCTGTTGTTGTTGTTGTTATAGCTTTTGGAAGGAAATAGGGGTCTCCTAACAACTCTCAGCATCCCTAACTAACTACAATTCCAAGGATTCTATGGGAAGCCATGACTGTTTCAAGTGGTATGATACTTGTTTAAATGGTGTGAATGTGGCCAAAAAAAATTATGATATGGCTGCCTACCTTATGTGAAGCGAATAATCTGGAGTGTTGCTCCAGTGCTGGTCTGAAACTTGTTGAAGGCTGAAGTACCCCTGCAGGACACATCTGTTCCAGGGTGTAACTTTGAATAAAGAGGTCACCCTCCTTTTCTTGACTGAACTTAGGTCAAGCTGGTATGTCTTCTGCAAAGGTACGATGCCAAGAGCTGAGAGAGTTTCTGGGGAGAAGTTGGCAAGAAAACATTTTCCATTTCATTTCACTCTTAATTTGCATACCGCCTTTCCATATTACTATACACAAGGCAGTTTGCAAGCTGAAGAAACAATGAAATAGACAGCTAAGATCACACATATGATCCAATACAAAAAAGGTCATTCTAAAAACATAACTTTAAAATAAACATTATTGGGAGCAGGGGTAGAGAAAGCACAGTACATTTTTATTCATCTTCTGTGGAGATGCCTGCAAGAATCACAGTATCACTGCCTGGAGTCTGAAATGGTCTTCAGTTTATTGACCCTCATCCAGTCTATTACTGACTCTGGACGCTGTTTCAACTCTTCCACAGCATTGCCTGAATTCACTGAGACTCATTTAAGCCTATGGGACAAAATCATTGTAAACTATGGACTCTGGCTGCCTTCACTAACCTGGTTCCCTTCAGATGTTTGGGAGTTGTAGTCTAAAACATTTGGAGGGCGGAAGATTGGTGAAAGCTAAACTATGGATTTATTCCTCATAATTGCTTATTGTAAACACAGCAATCAGTAACTGATAACTAAACTCTTGTTGCATTCTGAACTGGAGGCTAATAAATGGATATGTTCTCATTGATTATATTAGGTGATATAATATAATTGGATAGCTTTATTTATTTATTTTTTAAGCAGCCAAAGCTTTCTTGGAGCTACATTCCACAGGCCAAAACTTCTGTAGGGCACCCACAGAGTTGTCCTGTAACATAATACATTTGAGGTGGGGTAACAGTGTAAAATTCTTGTGTCCATCAAATGGCCTGTGAAAAATGGCACAGGCAGTGAAAACATTTGGCCTCTTCCTTTGTACTTCTTTATTAAAGCTGTTGGTGGTATTTTTGTTTCTGGCTTAGGAAACTCTAGGAAGAGGCTGATGTGCTCAGTGTGCAATAAGAGGTGTTCTTCAGCAACAAATCTTCAAGAGCATCGAAAGGTCAGTAAAATGAAGGCTGACCCCCAGCAGGTTGTGACTCTGCCGAGGTAGAAGGCCATAGAGTAGGGTCGCTAGAGAGCTGCTGAAATTCAGACTATCGTTTTTCTCATGTTCACAAAGACAGTAGTCTGCTTAGATCCTGAGATTTTTATTTTCACAACCACACAGTAAATGAAAAGAAAATGATCTTTTGTTTCTCTTCTTTTCTTTCGTTTGCTGTGATCAGGACTTTATCTTTCTGTTACGTTTTCATTTTTCAGTCAAATTCCATGTAGAACACTGAATATATTCTGAACCCATTAAACTTAAAACACCCTAAAAGAATAATTGGATAACTGGCAAATCCACATAAGGAATTAATATATTTTAACAGAAGCCCACTGCATATTGTTTGTACGGCTAAAGGCTATTAATGCTAAGAGTCAAAGCAGAAAGTAGCGTGCAACAAAAATAATCAGGATTTAAAAGAAAAGAAAAGCTTACTGCTCTAACCTTCACAATCTATGGAAACGAAGCAAAAAGATATCTCTGCAAATAGGTATCTGTTTACCTGGTATGCAAAATGCACTTTGCTTCTGCTTGTGACAGATTGAGGGGAGACATTAGCTCTGATCCTGCAAATCTTGTTCAAAATACCTCTGGCATTTTGAGATTTTTCTAGGTATCAGCCACACATTTGCAAGCTAATCAGGTACTCTTAATTGCTAGAAACAGATTTTTAAAATGAAAAGTGACGTTCTCAATTTTTTGGTATAATACCAAATTCTGCGCTTCTACTGTATAAATATTTTCTATTCAAAAAGTACATCTAAACTATTTTTAGTTGACCTAAACTAAATCACATTTTGGGGCATCCTTTTATGTGTTGTTGCAACTTCAGGACACTGAAGACACAAAGACGTTTGCTGAAAATTCATAGGGCAATTTAATTGCATTAATAAGCACCCTTTAACTGCGTTAATAAACCTGCCTGAATTTCACTTCAGTTTCCTTGGGTTTTTGTCAGGTTTCTACTGCTGCCTGCCCTTATTCTTTGCCAGTGTTATTGATGCCAGACTTTATATCTTGTTTTGCAGCAACACCAAGTCATAGGACCTATTATAAGAATCCCAGCAGCAGCATAAATAACCAGTCTCTCTGCAACTCAGCAATGTTGCCTCCATGCTTACTCCAAGCCACTGTATGCTAGTACCATATAAAGGGTTTTTTGGGGGGCCAGGGGAGATTTTGGGTATCTTTTATTTATGTAAAAATAGCTTTAGTGAGAGTTTTGAGGGTTTATGTGGCAAATAAGGCACAGCTGGTAAGACAGATTCTATTATTTAGGCTGCATTTATTACAGTACGATACTAGAAAGAGATGAAAATCTTCTGTAGATTTTCTTTTTAAAACTCTTTTAAAATATATTGTTTGCATTAATCTTCTTCTGACCTTTTAGCAGAAAACAGTCTTCTTCAGAAAGGAATGTTTGAAGATTTTTTACTTTGTGTCTAGCTGAGTATCACATCGGGGGTAGGAGCTCATTGCTCGTAAAACCTGGTTTAAGATCTGGTCTTATAAGAAGAAAGGTGGTTGTGTTTCCCTTTTTATTTTACAAATATCCCAGAAAGCCATAAACTGGAAAATCATTCCTTTGAGCTGTACAATTAAGTTCTACTTAAAGCTATGGCATTGAGATTATGTGGTGAACCAGCTTCATTGATAGGGTTCCACCATTGGAGGCATTTGTTGCTGGGAGAATCATGCCAAATACAGACTGTATGTCTGAACAAGTTCACCTAAATGCAGGTCTGCATCAGCATACGGAAAGTCCACTTCATTTTGTGGCAGCTGCCTTTCACAACCAGCTTGTTCTTTGGGGTGGTGGTATCCTTTACAGTTTAACCACATTTGGTTCATGCTAATTCAGATGTACCTGTGAAAGGTGTGGCAGTCTGGATAGGCCTTTAGGTCCGTTGTTCTGACTGGCTGAAGATCAACTACAACATAGTGGCAAATAAGGGTCAATACTCCACTAAGTTATTATAAAATTTAGTGATCTTAGGCACATGAAACAAGGACCGGCCTTATCATTGGACCATCTAGCCCAGCCTTTTTCAACCTTGGATCCCTGATGTTAGATTACAACTCACATCTTGCCTAACCATTGGCAAAACTGGCTGGAGATGATGGGAGTTGCAGTCTGATCCAGCCAATGCTACAGTCTTGGGTAACCTTTGACCCTCCAAATGTTTTTGGACTACAACACAGATTATCGCTGGTATTGGCTGGGACTGATGGGAATTGAGAGTCCAACAATATCTGAAGCTCCAAATGTTCCCCAGCCCTGCAATATGATCTACTTAGACTAGCAACAGAAGTTTTCAAGGTCTCAGGCACAGTTGTGCCAGCCCTGCTGACCAGGATCCTTTTAATTGGTTTAGGACTTCGGTTACACCAAGCATGTGCCCTACAGTGGTACCTCGGGTTAAGTACTTAATTCGTTCTGGAGGTCCGTTCTTAACCTGAAACTGTTCTTAACCTGAAGCACCACTTTAGCTAATGGGGCCTCCTGCTGCCTCTGCACCGCCAGATCACAATTTCTGTTCTTATCCTGAAGCAAAGTTCTTAACCTGAAGCACTATTTCTGGGTTAGCGGAGTGTGTAACCTGAAACGTATGTAACCTGAAGTGTATGTAACCCGAGGTATCACTGTATTAATAGGTTCCTGTGACTTGAAAACAAAATGCCAACTGAAAACATCCCTTAAAATTCAGACCTATGAGGATTCCTTTGTTTCCAGTGCAGACTCTAGGTTACCTGTATACTAATTTACCTGTCCTTCACATTTTTAATATTATTTCTAAGCAGTTTGTTTAATAGCTACCTTCAAAGGCAAAAAACTGATGCAAATCCAGGAACAGTTTTTGGAGGATAGTGATACAGAATGAGAAATCTCTTTCACAGACATATAGTTGTGAAGTTAATTCCTGCATAAAGCCTAGAACTAGCCAGCTATTTCGAATTGTCTTAAAAGTTTGAAAGGTCAGATCACATTGCTTGGATTAGTGAATCTCTTTAGGGGCTTATAGTATTAGTTGAGTTCTAAGGAAAAACAATCAGGCAGATTTATGGACTGTAAGTCAAAGTCTGTCAGGAGTTACCCAATCTGAGGGGTATCCCTAAACATTGCTATGCAAGTATTTCAGAGAGTGTTACTTGTTCTGTAATTATTCTTTCCTCTTGATTTTCTTCCAACTGTTTTTTGGTTGATTTTCATGTTGCTGCTGCACACATAAGGTTTTTTGGGTTTGGGGTTTTTTGAAGGCCAAAGGACACCTTTCTACTCACCAAACCAGTAGATTAAAGGACAAACTAGGTGTGATGGCAGCAGCTTTTAATGCGTCTGCCTCCTTTGCCTAAAGAGCAAGGGGGAATCTTACCTCCACAATAAAAAAGCACATAGGAAAGAGGTCCTGAACCCTGATGCTCTGGGGACCTTTTGCAGTTCCCTGGTTAAATTTGTACCCCATTATGCCTCCCAACAGAGCCCAGGTGAGCAAACAGCAAAATATTTAAACATAATGTTTTGTGTTCTGTTTTCCTCTTTGAGGAGATTAGAAATTTCCACATCCACTTTAGATAACCCTCAGTTTCCTATTATGTCCAGATCCTAACTCTGGCTAACATAGTTAAGATTAACCACAGTTTGGGTTTGGATATTACAACAAGTAGTGATTAATCTAAAATGGAAGCAAAAATATCTGAATTTATCACTGTAGCTGCACTCAGAGGAGGAGGGGGACAATACACATCTGGATTTTGCTGTAGCTCATTCTCATAATGTACAGGCCTACATTTTTGAGAAATTAAAAAGAATGCTCTATCGAGGCATGATGCTGTACCCAGATTATGACACCATGCAAAATTTATGGTGCTGTAATTTTCCTTCTGACCCCAGTCCTAACACGGAGGTGGGAATTTGGAACAGACTCTTGATTATATTAAACATTGGGCATCTTATTGGTTTCAAGTTCCACAAAGGTCTATCTGGAACAAATAATTAAATGGGGGGGAAAGCTTTTCATAGAAATATCAAAACCACATAAAAATTATGTTTGCAGCAACATTTGGAATCACAGATTTCTTGGAAAGCAGAGAAGAAAAGCAAATGTAGAGAAAGAGGTCAAATATATCATCTAGTTTTGAATTTAGTCATACTCATAGTACCCCCATTGAAATTATGGAACAAAGGTGCTAAATCCATACTGTGGTTGTCACCTAGTTGGTTATCATGCAAAGTTAATCTATGTCAAGTTCACCTTTGGAAAGTTTGGCAAATTATTTTTTGTCCTTTTTAATAAGACAAATGAAGATTTCTGAAACTGTCACTTTTAAAAAATGAAGAAATATGTTCATTTCAGGCTACACAGACCTTGGTTAGGCTCAAGCAATTCGGACAATTAGTGTTTTTTGTCTCCAGAAGCTTGGTACTCAAAGAACGGTAATATAGAGTTATATCTACATTTTTAAAATCATTGCTACTTTGGAAAATATGATAGTAGCCAAGAGAATGATTTCCAGTGCAATTCTTATGCAAGTTTACTAAGAAATGACTGCCACTGTATTCAATAGGGCTTACTCTCTGGTAAGTATGACTAGTGTTTATGAGTACATTAGACTATAATTATATTCTTCTTAGAAGTCAGTGCACATTATTGAAATGTTCTCTGTATTTTTAGGCTTTATGCTAGAAGAAAAAGGTTATGTATAAAAATTGCCTATTCTGAGAGAATTATTCTTTTTGGGGGGATGAACACATATTCTACAGTAGTTCTAGAAATGTTGATTTTTAATTTTTTAAAGAGTGGGTTATGGATTGTGGACTTTTTAATTTTGGAAATGTGGTTGTTAAGCAAAGGAGTTAAGGAAGGAAGTACATCCATGAGAATTAGCATAGCTCCGAGCTAAGGAATAATTACAGTCTATTTGAGATGTTCTTTTATTAGCTTAAGATGTGTGATCTTGTGTAAGACACATACTTAATTATCATTAAATACTCATATTGCAGGTTCATGAGATCTTTGAGTGTCAGGAATGTGACAAGAAATTTATTTCAGCTAACCAGCTAAAACGCCATATGATTACTCACTCAGGTAAAAACCTTTTTTCTTTTTTTATTAAATCAAGCTTCACATAATACCTTGAATTGCTATTGTATATATTTTTGTTATTGTATTGGGCTTTGCATTAACAAACAGGTAAGACCTAATAATGAGGCTCTTTGGTAGTTGGTTCCATAACCTAGTTTTGTCAATTTAAGTGGAGGGAAGTCTGTGGCCCTCCAGATGTTGTTGGATTCCACTGCCCTTCAGGTCAGGAATAATGGGATTTGTGGCCCCAACACCTGGAGAGGTTCAGTTTATTCATACCTGATTTAAGATGGCTGTTCACATGAATAAGGCATATACCTCAGCTCTGAACACTTGCGTGTTACACTTGCTTCCATTGTAAGTGTGTTTGGAGTTTTGGCAGCCTAAAAATGATTTAGCTAAAAGGACTGATTTAATTGGTTTGAGAGTTTCAGCCAACGCATATAATCCTAATACTTTACAATTAATAGGTTGAGCGTTTCCTTTTAGAAAACCCCAAGTTTATTATATAGGCTCCTGCTTCCACATATCTTTTTTCTTCTTGGACACACTTGCATCATGATATTTGCCTTGAAACTTGATTGAATAGTTATTTTATATTTTTTTAGTAGGCTTATTGTATGGTAGAAATAATGTAAGCAATGCAGAGATGGCTTGAGGAAATGGCTTTTTCCCGGGACGTTTCCTTGGGCTGAAATAAATGGGAAGGTCTTTAAATTATCTATTGGTCTCTAGGTATCAACAAGATGCTTCCATTGTTTCTAAAGCAGACCATATACACCTTTAGGCAATAGCCTGAGCAGGCACCCCCTTATCAATGATGGAACTGGCAGAGGAGAAGCCATGTAGAATTTGCAAGAAACACTGTTTTGTCTAATTGGACTCTGCCACTTATTTCTCTTCATTAAGCTCTGGCATTTCCACATCTTTCACTCAATAATTGGAAAAAGGTGCAATCAAAACCTGAATTTCTGTTCCCTTCCTAAATGCTTTAAAACAGGGTTTCAATATTGCTAAAACGGTTGATGTTTAGCTGCTATCTCCATTTCATTGTATGCTTGAAGTGCATTTGTTTAAACAAGCAAACAAAAAGGACTGTATCTCAGGGGCATTTAGCTGAGTTTTGAGATTCTGGATTAGAATATTCTACATTGTAGTGCTAGGCTTCATATAGCAACTGAAACACAAAAGCATATACACACCAACTCTGGTTGTTTTAAAAACGAATCTGCTATGTATATTGTTAATTAAGTTTTAAAACATTTAAACTGTCATGCCCTCGTTCACATTTGTAGTCTGGCAACAGGCTTTGCCTCTTTGAAGTCATTCTCTTTTGATTTAAGCTAATTAATCAGAGTTTAGTTTTAGCCATGATTGTTGCAAAGAACGTGCCAATTTCTCGAGATGCGCCATGGCTCATCTTTTACGAAGCGACTTAACTGTGTAACATAAAGGGCATTAGATATCTTTCTAATTGGTTTAATCTTAATTGGGTTGACTTCATTGCAGAAATCTCTCCAACGAGATGGCTGTCTCTGCCTTTCATCTTCTACCCCTATATAAACAGGAGATTAAATGTCCCCCCACTCATTTTCTGCAGAAAAACGCCCCTACACCTGCGAGGTTTGCAATAAGTCCTTCAAACGACTTGATCAAGTGACTGCACACAAAATAATACACAGTGAAGATAAACCCTATAAATGCAAGCTTTGTGGAAAGGGATTTGCCCACAGAAATGTTTACAAGAATCACAAGAAGGTAAAAACAAAAACAAAAACAAAAAAACCACTCTGCTGTTGTTGTTTACAGCTCTGCCAGGCTTAGATTTGCAGCTGTTGCTCATTTTAGTGATGGATCAGTGCGCTTTGGCATGCTTAGAAACATGAGCTTCAAATCTTGCAAAATATATTAGCTAGCCTTCCTTTGCGATAGCCTAGATATCTAGATCATAAACGGGTCCTTTGTGATTGTTTCTTTCTTTCTAATCAGTCCAAACTAGTTCAACCGATTGCATACTTGTTTTGATTTTGTTCCTTTCGGATTTTTTTAATAAAAAAGAGTAACTTCTTAACTATATCTATCTATCGTGATGTTGCAGTCATTTTTTCTCTTTGTGGCAGACATTATCAGGAGAGCCATTAAAGTTTACACTGACGACATTTCAGTTAGACATGATTTCAGCAACAGAAGAAAACTCTGCCCCCAAAGTACAGAGGGACCTCACATTCAGGCTCCACTAAACGACTCCTGGCTGTGTGATTTAAGCTCCAATCTGCCTGCCCTAATTTTGATAATGCCTGTCATTACTTTTGACCCTGGGTTACGTTTTCAATGGCACGGCTGCACCCTTGACTGCTGCCGCTGCTTCAGAATTGCAAGACTGTAAAAAATTATCTGGCTGGTTTCCTGCTTAGTCTTTGAAACCCTATTGCTCCTTCCCTCCACCCGCCCCTTGCGCCAACACTTTGATGAAATAGATATACCAATACTTACACATTTTTCACAGTTTGGCTCATGTTATATGCCATCTGGGAATCTGGCACCGGATCTTTGCACCATCTTTTGTGTTTTCAGCCATAAATCATATGAAAGTAATAATAATAACCAGAATGCTTCTAACAGGGTGAAACAACGATGACTGTTCTTTCTAAGGCAGACAGGATGCATGAGCCCATTGAAAGACACAAGAGCTTGCATATCAGGACCACAGCTTACATATGTAATGACCTTTTAAAAATACAACTTGCAAACTGGCTACATTGAGAGCAAAGTGAATGAAAGCTATTCTGAGTAGTCAACTTTAAATTAAAAAGAGAGGGAGAGAGAAAGGAGGGGAAAACATGTCCCGTCCCCCCAGTAATCTCTGTGTCCTGAAGCATTATTCATTCAATAAATAAATATTGAAAACCTAATGTGGACCTTGCCCCTGAAATTGCTTTGAGAGTCATGGAAATATGTCCACATTGGTGTATTTTTATGTATGAGGTGTGAAGATTGCATTACGGCATTTCCATTTTGGAAAGCTCAAGTAGCAGAGCTGGGATGGGCCCCAGCCTCAGTCTCTGAACCCCTGGATTTGAAGCTCATTAACAATATTGAACCAAGTAGATCAGGGATGGACTTGCTTCAGTTTGCATGGTATGCTTTTCTTTCTATCTTGCTTGAATACTCCTGGCCCAACAGTGTGCTTTTACAAAGCTGGGTATCACTGATCTTCATTGAGTGATCAAGAATATGCATGTTTGCTTAAGAAGGGCCTAGTTGATTCAAAGCAAGATAAATCAATTCCTACATTCGCAAGCAGGGATGTCAACGTGAATAAGATATTGAGGGGGCCAAGGTAAGCCCCACCTTGCATAATCGATCACATGATGCAGTACACGCACACCACCCCTCAGATATTTTACTGGGGGGCAAAAGCCCCCTCGTCTCCTAGGAGTTGGCTTCTATGTTTGCAAGTACTGCTGCAAACAGCAGACACAAGATGGCCCCCGGCACATTGGCTTGTGGTTCACCAAGGGATTGGGACCCCCTTCCTGCCCATTCCTCTGGCAGACCATCGGTCTGAATGAGTAGAAACAAGTCTGAGAATATTCAGTGCTAAAAAAGATAAAAACCTGAATCATGGTTACCAATAAGAATAGTTGATTCAATTTGAATGAAGTATACAGATTAAGCAAATGTGTGTATTCTGCATAGTTAATTCTGCACCTGTAGGTTAGGGTAGAAGGTGAAGAGCTAAGTTGCCTCCAACAACTGGAAATTCTGACTCTGAGCTATAGACAGGCTCAGAGAGTTTTCAGCCCTATTTGTACAGCTTTAAGGGGTGAAGCTTCAAAAGAGCAAGCAGTGCTCCCTCAAAACCCTTCAATTGTTCCATGTCATTAAAAGAGCAAGTAAAAATTGGCATAAACTACATTAAATGAGCTACAGTGGCTGTTACAGAAGCTTGTGAATCTCAGCTTTCTTTTTTCTCTTTTAAACCCTTATGGTTTCAAAGATAAGACTGGGAAACATGATAGCAATTTGGGCTGGAAGCTCAGAAACCAGATGGCAAGTGAAAAGGAACTGTAATTCATTCATTTTCTCTACGTTTACTAAAGTTCTTAGTTTTAAGCTCAGAACTGAAAGATTACAAGTTTTCAAATTTTTAGCATTTGACGATAATAATTCTGTAGTAAGAAGCTATCCACCCTAGTGCCTGAGACACAGCAACATATGAAAATACCTGCTAATTATATTGGCTATGGCTATGTACAATTAAATATACCAGTGAGCTGTAGCAGTTAGGGTTCATGCGGTTCATGAGCTGTTTGTGACTGTGGTCCAAAACAGACTGACTTCATGCACTTTTCTCACAGTCTGGCTCCACCACCAAAAGTGAGCTGAGTTGTGGAGAAAAGTTTCCGAAGCAACAAAACATATTGCAACTAGGTCAGCTGGGAAGCAGACAAGTTTATCTCATCTCACCTATGTACAACTTTTGTTGCAAAAAGTAGACCCCACCCCTCCCTTTAAAGATGAATGAAGTATTAACCTATGTCTCTCTGTGTGGTTAAAGGAATATGAATGGACTCCAGTACTGTAATTCTATTTTTGCCCTCAAGTCTACTTCACAGAGTGTAGTAAACCGGTCCCTGGGCTGTTGTATTTCAGTCTATATGTGGAGGCTCCCATGTTTGAACCTTCCTTCATAACAATAACAAATCACTAAGTATAGAGAAATAGCATTTCAAGGGCTGGGCAAGAATACCCCCCCCATGTCTAGCTTTCTCTAGCTTTCTCTATGCAGGTTTTGTTTGGGGGGGTATGGAAGAGCATGCTGTCATGTGAACCCCCACGTGCCATTTGAAATGGTACTGTCTAGGTGAAGGGTTGACACTACCTCAGGGAAATCTACATCTGAGGTACCCACTTGTAATCTCTTTTTGTATGCATTTTGTGCTACTCTGAGTAGTGCTTCATTTGTAAAGTATCAGGGGCTGGTTCTGAGTCATATAAACAAGTTTATCTGGAAATCTTCTCTTTAATCTATGGATTTACCTGGTTTAATTGTGTTTTATTTATCTGATTTAGGAAATGTATGCACTACTGATCATTTTTAGCAAAATCTCTATAGAGTGGCTTACAAGGTGTCATAAAATGTTACAGAACAGAAATGGGAATACAGTAAAGACATTATAAAAATCTGTTGAACCTGTTCAAACATATGCTGCTTGTTCCTGTGCTTCTCCCAGAAAACAGGTTATATTATAGCAGCCTTTTTTAGACCACTACTCCCAATAGTCAGGGATGATGGGGATTGCAGTCCTTTCACATTTGGAGGGCACCTGCTTTGGGGGGAATAAATGGGAGGGAAATGCAGGAAGCAAAAGTGTAGTTTAGTGGCCAAAATGTTTTGGACCTTGTTAGTGAGTTCTACAAATAAAAATATTTGTATAGTTAACAGAACTGTGCATTAGAGATAAGACCTAGTCAAATGAAGCAATGTTTCTGTGTGGTTTTAAGAAGGGAAAAGCCATAGCTTAGTGACAGCATACACAGTTCAGCTCCTGTGCTCAGGTTAGCTGAATTGGGAAAGAGCTCCTTTGGTGACTTTGGAAAGGCAGTGCCATTCAGAATATGCAGAATACTGGGCTAGATGAACCATATCAAAGGCCTGCTTAGTAGCAGACATCTCCTGATCCGCAAGCCTGATTTGATCCAGTAGTTACCAAAAATTCCAAAACACATCTAACAAATCATATCAAAGCACCAACTTTGGTGCTTTATTATTCGTCTGCAACAGGCATGGCTTGGTCAGAAGAGCAAAATCCAACTCCTATAACAAAAAACATGTTTTTCAAATTTGATACCGTCAAATATAAATCCATGATAATCTTGTGGTCTTTGCACTGAATTGGTATTAGAGCCATTTCTCTTAAGAATATTTAATGAAAAACAGGACATGGGGATTGTGCCCTCTGGGAGGGTTTTATTATATGCTTTGGGCAGAGGTTGCCTTGACGCCTATGGATAATTTTTTTTATTGATATATAATCTGGTGGTGTGCTAGAGCATCAGAACAAACTTGGCTGACTCGAAGTGTGTGTTTGACTATTTTCCAAGTTTACCCAGTGCTGTAACTGATGTGGTTTAACATAGTCTTTTCACAACAAGGAGTTGATTTCATTTTGAGGTGGCCCAGTCATCCATGTGTAGCATATAAAACACTTGCACTGCAATGGTGCTTATCACCTCAGATTATAAAATGGCTAACAATAGCATCTTGGTTGTACACACTTTCATTATTTCCCTTTGTATAGTGCGGGGCTTGTCTACAATGAAGTTTACTGTGTGTCTGCAGCTGTTAACATTCCTATTTAATTTCCACAATCTACATGACACTACCTTCCAACAATACCAACCCTGATGCTCTCCCCTTGTAAATGTGGGTTTAGCCATACAGGGATAATCTAATGAACTGGGGGGAATTTGCCCTCAAACCGCTTCACTCGGGTCACAGACTATTTGTCGCAGTGCTTTTGGATAGGTGAATCACCACTTTCTGCTCTTCCCCTTTGCATGACCACTACTTCCCTCGTGCTTTCATTTCCTTTTATGTACATTCTTGTAGCTATTTCTGGCACGCTCCTGAACAAAGTGTAGCCTTAAGACATTTCTTAATTTTGGTCCTTCAGATTTGCACAAAACCAGAAAATTACACAAACCAGTCACATTAAAAATGGTTTCCCAAACATTTATATTTGGCTGACTATGTGCTTTTGTTTACATCCTGGGCTCAGGGCTCATTCAAATCCCGGGTAAGTCCCATAAAAGGAGGATTCTGGGGAGTGACTTACCCCACTCCAAAATTAGTTTAGCTCAGTCATGTGACCTATTAACCCTATAGAATTTACTTGAGCAGAAGGGTTGGTGTAAGTCAAGGGTGGTGTAAGCTGACACAGCTGGCAGTAGCCCCACTCCTGAACCAAGTTTGGAAAAAAATTGCCCTGGCTTCCTATCATTTGGATTGCTTTATAAGTGACTAGGTCAGCCACACTCTCTCAGCCTAATCCTACCCCACAGGGTTTTTGCGACAATAACAGGCGGGGAGGCATGTGCGTTGCACTGATTTGTGGCGTAGGATAACAAGCTAGTTTTGTACAATAAATGTTTCCAGCTCTGCTTTCCTGATCCATTGCCCCACCACCCTGTCAGATGCCTTTTATGTTTAACTAGTAACTGTGGAGACATTAGCAGACCCTGAGTAAAGGGGGCATGGGGATGCAAGGCGGAGAGGAAAGCACAGTGTCCCTACAGATTTGCCATAAAAAGAAGTGCTTTACTGAACACTCCACATGCATAAGACAGAGTGTCTAATAAAAACATAAGCATTCTTGGCAACTACTCCCAATCAAAACAACTTAAAAACCCTGCTGCATGCAGAGAGGTCAGTTATCTGAGACACCCCTAATGAGACTGGGTGCCTCTACCTGATGAGGGAGAGGAGAATATCTTTAGGAAACTGGATCTAAAGGCTACCTGTATATACCCTTAAAAGTTTTCTAATATATCAGGCCACAGCTTCACATTACAGATAGGCTTTAGAAGATGTTGGAGATCTTCACAATGGTTTCATGGATCATGTTTCCTCACAATATAGCATTTGTAATATTTGGGTAGTGGAGGAAGAGGACCGTGTGTATGCTTGGGCATCATAAATTCTTTTTATTTCTTTGAGAGTTGCTTTATATCACTATGCATGTTGAATTGGTTTAGTATACAATATGACTAGAATACTTCAGGATAGTTTGCATATTTGATTCCCTAAGAGTTGTGGAAGCGTGGTTCGGCTGTATAAGAGACCCCTGATGAATTCCCATCTTCATTCTGGGCAAAAAGAGTTAGAAAGAGGTCATAGTCTGGAGATCTCCTCTTGATCTGCCCAAGAGCTGGCAGGGTCAATATTGTCATTAACAGCAATCAAGAAGGAGGTACAGAGTGAGAATCATTTGCATTTGTAATACTGGGTGCATTTATTTTTTTTACATCCCTTGTTATTGCATATTTATAATGTTGAAAGTAATTGAAAAGGAGCAAAAATAGAATAGAAATTACATGAAGCTGATAAAATCTGAAAAAAATAAATACTGCTTAGAAATGTAAATTAATAAAACCATTTCCTACTAAATGAATTGCTGTACTGAGCCTCTAATTCTATTGATGTTCCAAACTCTGCATAGCTTCCAAAAGAGTGACCAAATGTATGCAGTTCAACCATCTTTACATTTATTACTTTGCACTCTGTCTACTGGTCTACTCTACTATGAGGAACTGTTCGGTCTTCCAGTGCTGTAGAACAAGCAGCTTCACTTATAACCTAGAAAATATGTGTCTTCAAACAGCAGTCAATCAGCACTGCAAATGGCTTTGCAAATTCTACATGATTTCACTCATGTGGGCTTCTGTTAGGAAGAGAAATTAGTCAAAACTCTTGATAAATATAGTTCCTTCAAATGTGAGCACAGTCAACAAAGTTCTGCATGTAGTTAACTGAGAGCCAATTGAAACATTATAGCTCCCATGCGAAGGCTGATTAAAAAGTATTTATCCTCATACTTTGTATCCTAGGCATAACATTTAAAAGCCTCTTACACTATGTATTGGCTCAAATTTGTAAAAGGTCAAATTTGTACAAGGGCCAGCAATTGCTTGGGATGTACATTGCTGCTGGTGGTGGGAAAACACTGTGCACATTTTGGTAAATGGAAGGAATGACAAGCTTTTAAATGCTACTTACAATGCTTTTGGGAGTCTGTAACATTTAAAATTGGCCTGATAATTCTTGTAAGGGAGTGACAGTGGTTTTGTTGTTCAAGATAGCGGTTTAGAAAATCCGATAAAGGGCTGTTAAGTGGCAAAGCAAGAGAAACTCTGCAGCTATTCTGAATGAAACTTAAGGGCTTGTTTACATGATCTAGAAACAGGGTGACCAGATGCCAATGAAGACAAGATTCCTGCACCTTTTAATAGTGGCATAGGAGAGGGAATTTCAGCAGGTCTAGAGTGCACACTACACATGCTGAAATTCATTTTTCTAAAGGTGTAGGAGTCCTGCCCTCTTTTGCATCTGGATACCATATAAGGAAAGCAGAGTTGATACAGCTGAATTAACCATTCTTCATGCAGGAAATAAATCCCAGAGTGATATAGTCATACTTTCAGGTTCAAGGTCTACAGTTTCCGCACTTTACTCTTTGCACAAAAGACAAGGCAAGTCCAAGTACTTCTGATTATCTGGGGGTACTTTTCTATGCTCTCAGCTTGATTTAGCTTCTGATCAGATTAAAATAAATCAGAAGGTAAATCTATTTAAGATGTTCAAAAAGCCAGATAGCTGATCACCTAAGCAAGCCCCAAGTGTGTTTTTAAATGAGGGCGGGGGATTTTTCACTCATGCATGGTGCCAGATTAACAGCCCTAGAGACTGAAGCCTTCTATTTATCCACAGAACAGGTACAGCACAGTCAGCAGCCATGCAAGCTTTCCCACAGCAAAGTATCAACCAAATGTCTCAACCCTGTTCTGGAGGAACCACCTGTTGAGGTGAGAAGGTAGTTCAGTCTCTTTATGTCCAGACTTGATTGGCTTTTCTGTAGTGACTGCTGTTAAAGAACCACACCAATAGCCCTAACAAGGATGTGGACTTTGGAGAAAAGCATCCAGCCTTTTGTGTAGGCCACATCCATTAAAAAAAAGTGTTGTTAACTGATAACACAATATTTTGGAGCAACTTTGAAAATATGGCTCAATCATTTTTCTGGATGAAGAGTTTTTACATCATCTGCCATAGATTATCAGAAAATGACAACAGGGGAGCATGGTCATTTTAGGTTCTTCTGCCTCCTGATTATTGTGAAGCGGCTGAGAAAACAAATCCTATGCTCCTCAGCAGGAAATTATGCTGCTGTACATGCAGAAGGTATGCCGTTTCTGGTTAAAAGGGGGAAAGGAAAGGTTTCTTCTGTCTCCCACTGCTGGTTTCAACGTTCTCGTTCACAATGAAAGCTTGAGAAGGAGATGGAAGACTGTTGGGGCCACACTTCACTCATTTGCTTGACCTCTCTTGGGAAAACCTAAAGCAACTCAAGCCCCCCTTCCCCGCTGAACGTTTTCCAGAATTTTTTGCAGAGGGTGGGGGGTGAATGCAAAGTGAAGAACGATGTTGTAGTTTTTAACTTGTTTTATTTTTAAAATTTATATCCTGACCTTCCTCCCAAAGGAGCTCAGGGTAGGAAAATGGTGTGGGAAGTAGTTCCAGGTGCACTTGCCTTGCCTTTCTGTCCTTCTGCAGCTAGTCTAGAATGCATATCTGTAATGGGGAAAAGGCAACAGTTTCTTTGCGGCAAAACCTATGGACAGATGGTGCATTATATGTGAAAGATGCTCTGTTCTCTGTTTCAATGCCTTGTTCTACAGTAGCAATCTATTATCAATCACAATTCCTATGATCTGCCAGGGGCTTCTCTTTAAAGGTGTTCTTAGTGCATTAAGTGAGAGCAGCAAGGCATATAATGTTTCCAGTGGCTGTTCTCTAGCTATGAAATATCCCCCTCCTTAAAGTTTGTCAAAGTCCAGAGGCAATGTTAACTTCTTTTATTTAAGAGATACTTATTGGGATAGTTTAGCTCCATGTTTTAATCTGTATTTTTTTTTGTACAGTGGTACCTATGGTTACGAACTTAATTCATTCCAGAGGTCCGTTCTTAACCTGAAACTGTTCTTAACCTGAGGTACCACTTTAACTAATGGGGCCTCCTGCTGAGGCTGTGCCGCTGACACACAATTTCTGCTCTCATCCTGGACCAAAGTTCTTGACCCAAGGTACAGTGGTACCTCGCAAGACGAATGCCTCGCAAGACGAAAAACGCGCAAGACGAAAGAGTTTTCCGTTTTTTGAGTCGTTCCGCAAGACGAATTTCCCTATGAGCTTGCTTCGCAAGACGAAACGTCTTGCGAGTTTGTTTCCTTTTTCTTAAAGCCGCTAAGCCGTTAATAGCCGCTAAGCCGCTAATAGCCGTGCTTCGCAAGACGAAAAAACCGCAAGACGAAGAGACTCGCGGAACGGATTAATTTCATCCTGCGAGGCACCACTGTACTGCTTCTGGGTTAGTGGAGTCTGTAACCCGAAGTGTTTGTAACCTGAGGTGTTTGTAACCTGAGGTACCACTATAGTCATATACAATCCAGATTACAGTGATGTGCTCTATGTGTGCCTTGCTCTGCAGAGCCTGGAAAATCTCCATGGCATGCAAAACTACTTTGGATTCATTTGCACTTGTTTCCAGTTGGTTTCTGCACACAATGCAAAGTCCCGGTCCTAACCTATAAAGACTTAAATGGTTTGGGGGCAGGATATTTGAAGGGCTGTCTTGTCCCATGTAATGCTGTCTGGCGACTGTGCTCTGTACTGGAGGCCCTGTGTCTCACCAGTTTCAGAAGCATAAAAGACAGCCAAGCAGCGCCTTTTTTTGTTGCAGCATCTGCATTGTGGGCCTCCTCTCCCTAGAGAGGAAATTCAGTTGGCTTCCTCTCTCTTATGCTTTAGGTGCCTTCCTAAGACTTTAAAAAAATTATCAAGCTTTTAATGTGGCTTAGAGCTTTGTCTCCCTGTTTCAGTGCTGAATTGTTTTATATTTCTCTTGGTTTTATTGTATGGAACTGATTTTATTCATTTTGAACTGCTGTTATTTGTGAGCTGATTTGAGTTTATTTTATAAATAAAAGCCAGGTATGTATATTTTTAATAAATAAAGGAGATGTATCCAGATACAAAACATAATAACAGCAACAAACCCAGGGCACAACTCATGCTTGTTCAATTCATTGATGGCCTTTTCATTGGGTTGTATCCAATGGTCCTCTTCCAGTTACGGAAGGGCTTTGGCATCCAAGAACAGAAAGCAAGGGAGGCAATTTTCACCACTTATCTCTTCATCCTGCAGCTCCCAGTTCCCTTAAATTCTATTCTAGAGGACTGGGGACTCTCTAGCCAGTGTAAGAAGTATTGCAGGGTGCAGCAGGAGAAGAGGAAATCGGTGAAAATTGTCTATCCCCATTCCATTATTAGGCCTTCACTTTCAGGAATTGAAAGACCCCTTCTACTCCAATAGATAAAGGTAAAGGGACCCCTGACCATTAGGTCCAGTCGTGGCCAACTCTGGGGTTGCGGCGCTCATCTTGCTTTATTGGCTGAGGGAGCCGGCGTACAGCGTACCTGTGGCTAGCATGACTAAGCCACTTCCGGTGAACCAGAGCAGCGCACGGAAACGCCGTTTACCTCCCCCCGGAGCGGTACCTATTTATCTACTTGCACTTTGACATGCTTTCGAACTGCTAGGTTGGCAGGAGCTGGGACCGAGCAACGGGAGCTTACCCCGTCGCAGGGATTCGAACCGCCGACCTTCTGATTGGCAAGTCCTAGGCTCTGTGGCTTAACCCACAGCGCCACCCACATCCCTCCAATAGATACAACCCATTAATTTTTATGTAGCTGAATTTTTCTGAAGGAACTCTGTGATATTGCAAAACTACTTCATTTTTTGAAGAATTTCAGAACTGCAGGTGGTGTTTTGGCTTCATATTTTTTATCATAAATTATGTCTGAAAAAGCTTGTTGCTTGGGTAAATGTGAGGCAAACATGAGGGAAAGCAGCTTATTCTAGTAGGGCAAGAAGTTCTTGCTTGAGCTGTATGTTAACCTTGGTCAACTTCAGAAATCCCTGGGAGGATATCGGTGAAAGTGACTACAAAACCTTCGTGTAATGCAGTCCTTACAGGTTCTGGTATTGGTCTAAGTCATGAGCAATGCCTTTAAATAATTTTGCATTTTACATTTAATGGAATTTTATAACTCTCCCACCCCGCCCTATGTGTGGATACATAGAATTTGTGTTGCGTATTCATTTTTACTTTAAGCAAAATACTGCTTTTGAATATAAATTTATGTAGTAGCCATGTACTCTGAACTATAATGAAACAATTCTCACTGTCCTCTCAGTTAACAGAAATCTAGTGACTTTTGGTTAAAGTAAGTACAGTTCTAGATCTGCCCAAGAGCATTAAACAACAACAAACCTCTTTCATGTATTTGGAAATGAGAGAAAATTAAAAACACAGAAACATCTTAACAAGCTGATTATTCCACTGTATTATACATTTTCCAGGAGGAAATCCAAGAAGATGTATGAGGGGTGGGGTGGGGGTGGGGGGTGTCCTTTCAGGCTTTATGTTTTATTTATGATTTGAAGCTTATTTCAGCCACAAAGCACTTCAAATGTGGCAACAAAAAAATCTACTCACCAAAATTTCGATACTACTGATCTCAGTTTCAAAATATTAAACAAGGTTGAACTGAGAGACGGGATTTGAGTTCTAACTTCATTTTTAAGCTGGCAGAAAAGTAGGTTGCAATTAAGTGGGGAAATGTCATTCTTTTATGTTGGGCATCTGAACCACACAAAAAATCTTGAGTGCGGTTTTATCTCTATGGCCACGTTTATATGTACATTTCTCTGTTTGGTGTTCATCTGCTTGACACCAACCAAACATAAGCTTCTCCATCACAGGAGCATGTGGTTTTAAGCCTTTGTTGCTTTTTTGGTGAACCGAGGCAATATTTCTTCTGAACTCAGCCAGCAAGGTTAGCCACAATTATTGTAATGACTTCTAATTGATCTCTCCGAGCCTTTCCCTTTTAAATACTTTGTCTTTCATCTACAGACCCATTCTGAGGAGAGACCGTTTCAATGTGAGGAATGCAAAGCACTGTTCCGAACGCCATTCTCTCTGCAGAGACACCTTCTAATACATAACAGTAAGTGCTAATATAGAAGATCAAGAAGTTCCCACATATCACTGCTGTCTTGTAATCTGTGAAAGTAAGTGCACTGTTAGTTTAGAAGACTGTCTGGTGTAGGTTAGTATCAGAGTCTTTTCACTAAATGCACACGGGGGGGGGGGGGGGGGAGGGATGGAGAGGGAGATTTAGAATTTAAAACTCTAACCATGACTAGTAAAGTGGCATGTAGTTTATCAATAAACTAGTGATGCATTGTATCTTTGGCAGGGAACGGAGTCTTTATCTATTTGATTCAATAGAAAAATGATCTTTAATATACCATTAGGCTGAGAGCTACAGAAAGACAAATGTGTTTATTATTTAACAAACATCCCTGGGTGGTGAGTCCTTCTGTCAATGTGGGCAATACGAATGAGTTCTTCAGAAGATCTAATCCTGGTTCAATGCTCGAAATTGACGTGCCTGTTTTCTCAGCTCTTCCATCTACTCCTTACCCAGGAATAGCCAAATTTGTACAGCACACTTTGTCTCTCTTGTATAAAACTCCAGTGGTGAGTATCCTGACCTTACTGCTTAGTACCATTCACCAGTAAATCCTGCCCATTTTGTAATGAGCTTCCCTTTTTTCAAGATATGTCATTGGCAGGCAATGGTCGGTAAACTCCTAATGACCATAATTCGTGTGGTGAATGGTGGTAAATGATACACATGCAGCCTAGGACATTCACCCTAGGAATGTGGATCTCTGCAGAGAGTGTGATGTATATTCCAATTCAGTCCTTTCTGCTGCCTGTGATTAGCATAGGGAAGGGGCATAGGTCAGATGATTCGATCCCTGGAGTCTCCAGGTAGGCAGGAAAAGCTCCTGGAGAGCTGCTGCCAGTCCGAGTGGAAAATACTGAGCTAAATGGACCAATGGTATGGCTTGGGTTAAGGCAGTTTCCTGTGTTCCTATGTTAGCACACATGAAGGGGAATATAATTGTATTCGTGGATATTTGAGGGTGATATAGAAGGTGAAGTCATTGCGGAAGAATTAAAGTCCTTATGCAGAAATTTACCTCATGGTTCAAATATCATCTGTGTCCTGAACTTGGTTGCCTTAGTCGCAAGTTAGCTCCTCAAGAATGGTAGCCTCAGATGATCTGCCTTAAAGAATTGCGGGAAGGATTACAACCTGATACATAAAGCATTGTGAACACTTTGAAAGCATTATATAAATGCTAAGTATTATTATTGTAACCCGATACATTTTGTTTGTGATGTTGCTCTCCACATGCCTGTGTTACAAGGCAAGTTTTAGCCAATAATAATAATAATAATAATAATAATAATAATAATTCATACCCTGCCCATCTGGCTGGGTTTCCCCAGCCACTCTGGGAGGCTTACAGCATATATAAAAACAGCTAGAGTACTGCAGTATCCCATGTGAATTTGGGGATCTGTTCAACAAACAAAAACATTTCAGTACCATTCTCCATTGCTACTACTAAGAAGCAATTCAAACAAAACTAAAAGTTGTGGCTGCGAAAGTCAAAGAATTCCCTATAGACTTCAAAATCTGTTTCTCTACCTTGAAATCCATTAGGCATTTTTTAAATCTCCTTGATGCCTGATCATCTTGATCGTTGTTCCTCTGGTGCCCAAGCATGCGAGTTGAGATTTTGTTTGTGTATCTTTTGAATGACTCATAGAAGACCTGAGATTCTTAGATAATCTTTTGAGACTCAAAGGTGACGTGTACAGAAATGAAGAAAATGTGCCATGTTTGTACAGCATAATTGTGCTTTAACAAGTTTCTGAAGGTATTGAATGATTCTTGTTTACTAGGCTGACCTTGTCTAGAGTAACAAAATCCTGTATAATGCCAAACACTACCCCGGTCCAATATTGTGCTGAAGCAGTTAATTATTCATTCACTTCAAAATTTTATAGCCTTCACATCTCTATAAAAAAATTTAAATGTCTAATGCCCAACTGTCAATAAAACAAAACCAACACAATACTATGCAATACAATAAACTGATCTGTAGAAAACACAACTTGAAAAAAGAGACAAGGCATGTATTTTTGTAAATGAAGAAATCTTTAATAACAATACATTTTTTAAAATACTATGCAATACAATAAAATTAGTATATCTGCTTGCAATTTATGTTTTGTTGTATTCACAATAGTATGTGGCTGTCTGCAGCTTGCATTAGTTTTTGTGAGTTTACATTTTTCAGTGGTTTCAGAATGGTCAAGCAGGCCCACATATATAAATAGCGATGACCAACACTTCCTATCTATCTTTTTAGCTGTTTCTATTTTAGCTGTAAGCCGCCTTAACTTTTTCATTGCTGAGAAATGTGCAAATTCGTCTTCACTTGAGTAATTTGTAGAATAGGAAAATACCTCCAAGATACACCTGGAATGCACACTGAGTGTAGATTTCTAAAATGGATGCCTGAAAAATGTGCTTTCTTGGACATCTTTCAAGGAACTGCAGCAGGAGGATTATACAGTCGTAACTTGGTTCTCGAATGGAATCCATTCAGGAAGTCTGTTTGACTTCCAAAAACATTCAAAAACCAAGGTGCAACTTCTGATTGGCTGCAGGAGCTTCCTGCACTCAACCGGAAGCTGCGGAAGACACATTGGACATTCGGCTTCCAAAAAAAGTTCATAAACCGAAACACTCACTTCCGGGTTTGTGATGCTCAGGAGCCAAAACGTTCGAGTCACAAGGCGTTCAAAAACCAAGCTATGACTGTAGGCCACATGAAGTTACGATACTTTTAGAAACAGTAGTTTTATAAACACCCCTTAGTATGATAGTGGAAGTTAAGCTAAATCTACTACTAACACAGCTTTATCCCTTTTTCCCCTCTGCAAGGTGAAAGAACCTTTAAGTGTGATCACTGTGATGCAACATTCAAAAGGAAGGACACATTGAACGTTCACATACAAGTAGTTCATGATGGCCATAAGAAATACAAATGTGATTTGTGTGACAAAGCCTTTGTGACACCGTCTGTGCTTAAGAGTCATAAAAAAGTAAGTATAACTCGTAGCTTGTAAAAACTGAGGTCATTGTAATAGGTTAAATTTGTTCAGTGTGTACTATGCTTACCTTTGAATATACAGATAATAGAATTTCTTTTAAGGTAAATACTTTCAGCTGCGGATTGTCCATACCAACAGAGTAATAAATACTTATGAAAAGTGATAGCATATGCAAATATTAGAATTAAGGTAGCTGTAAACACAGTTTTCAAAAGCAAGCAATGAAGACCTTCAAGCTTATTGGTGTGGTCCAATCTTATTTATGAATCAGTGGAGCTGTTTTAAGACTCCCCAACAATCTCTGTTCCTTTGACCGCGACTTATTACAATTTTTTTCTCATATCTCACTCTCATTTCTTATTCTGATAACAATAAGATTGTTCATTAGCTTCAGAGAGAAATCTATGCAAGAACTTGTATTATTTAATTGATTGGTTTGGGAAACATAGCAAATGTGGATGTGGACAAATACCCAGAAGGGTATGAAAGGCTGGAATAAATCATTCTTTCAACATTTCTTCTTCCATTGCCTTTGTATACCTGCTGACAGCTGTTGAAAAAGCCCAATGACTCAAAGTACATAGCTTCTTGGGGAAAATGCTAAACTCTCCCCTTCTTTGTTAAGCCATTGCACGGTTGTATGCCCTCTCAGGGCCAAGGCTGTGGTCTTGAGTTTGAAGTATTGACGGGTTTGTATTTGTCTTCACTTTGATTTCATTATTGTTTTGTGCTGTTGAATTTGATAAGATGAGCTATGTCAACACTCTCTCCACCTCACTCTGTAAATCCTGACTTTCGATGAACAGAGTAAATATTGACATTGTTTATCCACTAGGGATGCAGGAGTTAGTGGCAGGATTTATTAGGATTAAAAGAAGTCTCTAGAAGGTCATATCCTCTGTCACCTTACCTAACTGGCAGGTAATCTTATGGTTTTGATTAAACCCTTAACAGTTTTGTAATGGAAAAAAGTTAACTATATTGATTTTTAAAATAAAGTAAAATCCTGAACTAGTAGGCAGAAGCCTAAACCTTCGTTCAGAGGATATTTTTTTCTTACAGTTGTATCCATGGAGAGATCAGGAATATATGTTGAGTTTTTGCCCTCTCATTCTTCCTCATTGGTCCTTACTGTGGAAAGAACTGGAAGTGACTGAATTGGAAAATCCTGCATTCGAACAAACGCAGTCTGCCTGAACTTTGCAAGACAGCACCCATTTGAGTGGCCAGAAGCACCCAGTGTCTGCACTGTGATGTCCTTGGCTTTGATTTCTATTTATTAGAGCTTTTATAATCAGCCGTTCAGACTCTATCCAAATAAAAAGGTGCCAAATCTAGTTTGTGGGGCACGAGTGTTCCATAATCGTGAGTGCAGTCACTGAGAAGGCCTTTGCTCTTGTTCCAGACAGCTGAGTTTCCACCCTAGGTGGCAATGTCCTTCTGATCTACAGGAGTGGGCAGGGTAGTAAAGGAGGAAGCGATTCATACAGTATACTGGACCTAAGCTGTTTAGAGTTCTAAAGGGAATCCCAAGAGTGTGGTGTTGCTCTCCCCTCACAGTTGTCACCCAGCAGTGGTGGCCTCTTTTACTTCTCACCACTTTATTTCACTGGCAGTGGCTGTTGGAGTCTTAAATATATAACTGAGTTGGTAGAACATGAGACTCTTAATCTCAGGGTGGTCGGTTCAAGCCTCACATTGGGCAAAAAGATTCCTGAATTGCAGAGGGTTTGATTAGATGCCCCTCACAGTCCCTTCCAACTATACAATTCTATGATTCTATGGTGTCACCTAAGCAACCTATATTTTGGTGACATCAAAAAACCTTAAGTTTCCTATTTAAATCAATCAACTTAAATGTCCTTACTGGAATTATTCCCATTTTATTTTACTGTGGCTAGATCCAGCATTCCATCTCATATTCACTAAAATTCCAAAATGTTCTTTTAAACAAGATTGCTGGATTAAGTCCCTTTGCAATGAACATAAACTACAGTCAAAGTTGTGTAAAAAATGTACTTTCTCATTACTATCTAGTTGCAGTGAATCTTTCAAGTAGTCATCTTTCTCACAATAGTTTTTGTAATGCTCAAAATCTTCTTTTCCAGCTATAGTAAAAGTGTTTTGTGGGCCAAAGTCTCTTTAACAATTTTATTGAACAATAGCATTAGTAGAACTGGACACAAACAGAAGTTTTAAGTGAACTTAAGGTTATCATTAAGAAATCAAGCCAGTGTTTGCTATAAAAACTGTAGTGCAAATATGGAAGTAACAAGGACCTTTTTCTTCTGCCGCAAGCAGTTTCAAGAACCAATAAAGATTAATTGAATTTTTATGAGCCGAACCATTTGAGAAATAAAAAACAAATTTGGCCTGTAGTTAAGTTAGATAACCTGGTTTGTTTTGCAATGAGTAGCAGTATTCATTCAGGCATTTTGTGGTGTTGTCCTAAAGAGTAATTGTAATCTTAAAGCGTAACCATTATTAAACTCTTAAAACCTGAGTTTGATATTATAGTGTGATATGTAATGGAAGCTGAAGAAATTAGACTCTTGGAGCAATAAGAATAATAAACATTATTAATTTATGTTTTCTTTTGCAGCTAAGTTAACTCTTTCTCTTTTCCCTCCTTCCCCCTTCTTCCCGGTAGACTCACACGGGCGAAAAGGAGAAAATCTGTCCGTACTGTGGACAGAAGTTTGCAAGCAATGGAACACTGAGAGTACATATTCGAAGTCATACAGGTACAACATTACTTTATAAGAAACGAATAACATTTCCTAGGCACTTGAACTGCACCATTTCATAGTGTAGATTTGCCTATTTGTATTGAAGGACAGTTGCCATAACTCCCCTGTAAAAATCACTGGTGCCGAAATTTGGAATTAGTTGATTAAAAAATGAAATCTAATAGGATAATCATTATAGAGAACCCTAACTTCTACTCACCATACTTTAATATTTTCACAATACAGTTTGCAGTGGAATTTTACTTTAACCCTTTAGTTACTCTTTGCCAAAGGAACCAATCAGTTTAAACGTTCACATTTTAAACCATGCAAACACCAACCTTGCTTTAAGAAACATCTATGTAGTTTATTCCCTTGTTCAACATATCTTTCTCATTCATGGTTGGGTGCTCATTTCTGATTTAGCTAGTTGACTTTTGGCCACTGTTTCTCTTGAATGTCAGGCAAAAGCTTTTTTTCCTGCGTAAAAGTTCTTCACAAGGAACAGCTACATGGGCCCTTCTGTTTTAGACCTGCATTATGCATGTTGCTGCTGCTGCCTGTTCTTCTGCTTGTGTTGCAGCCTGCAGTGACTGTATGTCACTCAGCTGTAGTAAGCAAGGTACATGTTGTGATGCATGACACTGTGACACGTGTGGTTGGAAAACATACCATATTACACATACTGATGCACATTGATGTTGCACTAACATTCAGAGATACTTTAAAATCTGGAGAACGTCTGCCCTAGTCTGTGTTGTTGTTGTTGTTGTGTGGCTCCAAACAGAACTGATGATGATGATGACAACAACTTCCCTGAACAGGGCTGCCTTCAGATGTCTTCTAAAAGTCAGAGAGTTGATTATTTCCTTGACATCTGATGGGAGGGCGTTCCACAGGGCGGCGCCACTACCGAGAAGGCCCTCTGCCTGGTTGAATTTGTAACTCTTCAAGGAAATGATGAATTACTGAGTGGACATCCAATGTAGCTAAAAGTTGGAAGATTCGTGACATACAAAAGAATGTATTTGTTTAACAACCGTTCTATACTGCTTGATTCTTACAATACTTCTAAATGGTTTACAAGAAATATTAAAATGATCAGTAAAAATAGTTCCTCAAGATGATGATGATGATGATGATGATGATTTTGCCCTTCCTCCTAAGGTCCCGGGGTGGGTTACAACAATTAAAATACAACATTAAAATACAGTATTGTAAAAAAAAAAACTTAGTCACAAAAAATAACATGAGGGATAAAAAAATTTATCTGTCCACTTTCTCCATACTGTGCATCTTTTCTCTAAACTAAAATGTACCAATTGTTGTAACTTTTTCTCATAAGGGAGTTGCTGCATACCCTTGAACATTTTGGTTGTCCTTTTCTGATCTTTCTCCAACTCCACAATATCCTTTCTTGAGGTGAGGTGACCAGAACTGTATATCGCATTCCAAATGTGATTGCACCATAGATTTGTATGGTGGCATTTTGATATTTGCAGTTGGCCTTTCAGCTCCCTTCCTAATGATCCCTAAGATGAAATTCGCCTTTTTCACTGCTGCCACACACTGGTCCCAGCTCCAGTTCCCTACTTGTAGATTTTGCTGGCAATCTCTCAGTGCCATCATGTTCTTACAACTGGCTGTACGTGTCTCTGTCACCTATTATGAAGTAGTTCTACTTATCTATAGATCTGACAGTACATCGAAGACACAAATTTCGAAAACAAAGTGGATGCCCTAGAGCGTTCTGTTTACCACAGACTACGTATTCGAGTAATTGGCAAGCTGCTGAGTGTTTTTGTGATGTTTGGTTTCCAACTTAAAAGGGTGAGGATTGGTGTTTGACATGCAAAGCGCTTGTTAACAAATAGTCTTCTTATGACATTCTGTTCGGTTTTGCATAAACAAATTTGGCTTGCAGGAAGATGACAGAACATGTGCACTTAATCACTTGGCTTCCTAATATGTTTGATAAGTCTTAATCACTTCCATCTCTCACGGCCACCTGTTAAGATTAAAGCTGTTTACTTGTTTGGTCCTGTTTGTAATTCTGACTGTAACCAGGGCTGAATACTGATTATTCCAATGAAAATTTAGATTGTGTAGCTGAAACAGAATCTACTTCTTGGAAAGGGCTGAAATTGTAGTTCCTCACTGGAGGGTAAGGACTCAGCAGATGGTCACAGAATCCTTGTTTGCTGGTCACTGTGATGCAGGCGAATAATCCTGGGACAAAAGTTTTGTAAGAGGATATTATCTGACCCTCTGTATGTAGCTGCACATTAACACATTTGCAGTATAGGAAGCTAGTAACATTGTACTAAATGGTGGACCCCGGTATGATCCATCAGGACAGTAGCATCTTCGTATTTCTTAATACCTAATTTAGACCTTAAAAATGTCATGACTGATGTAGGATTAAGTTTGATATCTCCAGAATAAAGTGCAGTGAATTGTTGACAGTCCCAAGACTTGAGCATTGCCCCAAACATGTGGGTGTTGTGCTTTCATCTTGTCCTCCTGTTGTAACCTTTTCTACTTGTGCGCAGTGAGGGATGGGGCAGAGCAGTGTTTCTCACCTGATTTCCCAGAGGCAAACATTGCTGCCAGTTATGGAGAGGGGGGAGGGTTCAGTTGTGGGAAGCTCAAAGTGGGCACAGCAGTGGAGCCAATCTGATGTTACTTGCCTTGATGATGCTTTGTGGTAGGAAGCCGGCTAGCAATCCTTTGCAGCCTGCACCATCCTGTCAACAGCTGGGTGTCTGCCTGTGTAACATTTACAGTATAACCCTTGAAAGCCGTCACCGTAAAGAAATTTAAGAAAATTAGATCTTGGAGGACAATAGACAAGCAAATTCTGCCCATCCATATTGGGGGACAAATACTAGATTTGAGTTTGATTGGGAAACATCCATAACATAGCCCCAAGAATTCACGGTCATTTGTCAGCATGTACTGGTCTAGTAAATCTTGTTAGTAATGACAACCATGTTCTTCTCAGAGATTAGCAAACACTCTCTGCAAGGCAGGAAAACTAAGCATGTTCATATTTTCCTCAACCTCTATTATTTGATGTTGGTTGGATAGCAGTCCACAAGTATGTCTGTTTCTCCCATCCTCCTCCACCATTTCACTTGGAATTCTAATTTGTCTACAGTTTCGGTTCTCTGGAAGGCTCTTCCTTGCTCGATGTGCAGCAATGTGATCTGCTTATACGTTTAACTTTTTATTAAACTTTCAGGTTTGAAAGTAAATCTGTGATTGACCACTGTGCAAAAAGAATGCTGGACTACGAGGCCCTTTGGTCTGATCAACAGGCCTTGTTCCTACGCTCTTGGTCTTTGCTAAAGGGGCAAGCCTTGTGCAAGGACATAAAATCTAGTAGAAGCTTCTAGAAAACGTATTCTGTTTATATTCAGAATAAAGACAGACGATTGCATGTTTGCATGCTTATCACAGAATCTGCACACATAAAATTGAAACATTAGGGAGAAGGTTTGGTTAGGATCCTTTACTCTGGCACCGTAATTTTCTGTGGGCAGAGCATTTTTCACATTAGGGAATTCACATGGAATACGTCTCTCACTGCACCATGACTTTTGCAAACATATCCTGATGAGATCCATATGCAGCTGAGGCTGCAATCCTACGCTTGTTTACCAGAGAGTAAGCGCCACTGAACACACTTGAACGTAATTCTTGGTAAACATATGTCGGATTAGGTTGCGGTTCTGTAAAAGGGGCTAACATCCATTTTGTCCCCAGGCCACCACACAGCTATCTTCAGGTTTGCTCATTATAGAGTGGTTGGGCCCAGTATTAATTTGCAGAGTAGTAGAAGGCAGACATACACAATGTGCGACCCATTAAGCCAAACGGATCCCTCCATCCACATATGTCGACCCACCTGCAGCTCAGTTAAATGGATTTTTTCCTTGGGATTGCAAAAACGAGGACAGCAGGACAGAGGTGGCATATTGTGTTCAACTTCATGGGTCCCAACAAAAGCAGGCCTGGCTTAAAGGAACACATCAGTAAACTAATTGTCATCAAAATGGTTGCAGAATATTACATTCTGTATCACCTCTCTTTGTTACTGTGAACAGCAGATTGGCTTCCTAGATATTGTAACTGTTCCTTGGGATTCCCGTCTAGGGTATAACTCCAATGAACCAGCCTAAATGTTTCAGTGTGTGGCAAATGGCCCGAATCTTTCAGCAGTGGAGCTAGAGAACCAGGCAGAGGGCCTTCTTGGTAGTGGTGCCCTCCCTTCAGATGTCAAGGAAATAAACAACTACCTTACTTTTGGAAGACATTTGAAGGCAGCCCTGTTTAGGGAAGTTTTCAATGTTTGATGTTTTATTATGTTTCAATATATGCTGTGAGCCACCCAGAGTGGCTAGGGAAACCCAGCCAGACGGGCAGAGTATAAGTATTATTATTATTATTGGAGTAATAACCATGAACAGTGATGCACTGAGATATACGAGCATAGATATAAGGGAGGACAAGGTCATGGATAGCTTTGAAGAGCCTTGAGCTGGATTCAGCAGTAGAAATGAAGTAGCACTGATGTATTAGGAAGACCTTAATTCATATATTTCCAAACAATCCTTAGGTTTAATGTGCTTTAGTAAGGAAAGCGAAATTTAATATTTTATTATTTCTAGCATAGGTCTTGTTTACAAGAGGGGGTTCTTATAAGCAGTTACTCCCCAACACACTTTAATCTCAGAGTTGTTTGCACAATTCAGGGTCTATCCCAGAGGCAAGTTAATTGAGTTCAAAGTGAAGAAAGCAACCCCCCCCAAAAGAACCCTTGACTCACCTTGCTGATAAGTAATTGTGTAAACAATAACAGAGTTTTTATCCTGGTTAGATAGAGATTGTTTCTCATAGAGAAACAAAGTGAATTGTGAATGACCCAAGATAATCTGCAAGGGGTTATGACTGAAGAAGTCTGAAATCCCCTGTTTTTCTGATTAACAAACTTGAGATTGGACTCTTCAAAA